CAAGGTCGCGAATGAAAAAATCAACCAAGACGTGGTTAATAAGCCTCTTATCATAGACGGATTGGCGCATATTAACGTGGTGACCTCTAAACCATTAATGGATACGGAAACTTCCACGATATCACTGGAGAAACTATTTCAGTCTGATAAGAGTCACTTGAACCCCAGTTTTACTACGAACGATGAAGTGCTGGAGACCGATAGGTCCGAGTTTGTAAACGTGAGAGTGTTGAATAAAGAGCAAAAAGGTTTTCACGACGGCTTTCAAGGAGTTATAAATATTTTGCCTCAAGATGGCGACACGCACGAGGCCAGGGTGGTGGAAATCACTCAAAGGCCCAGCTCTAGGACAATCAAGATTGTCCCGATTAGGGTAGAAATGACTAGAAATATTGCGAACGTTAGGATATTGAGACGGGCAGAATCCTAACCGATTACTAGGTTTTAATTTATTTTACTTATATTATCTTGGTATTTTTAGGTGTATATAAACCTTGTTATGTTTTAGTGTCGCCCTTATTTAATATTGTAAATAAATCTTATGCACCGTTGTAATATAATTCGCACCATCACTGTTTTCTTTTCCATGTGTCTCCTGTCTCTATTTGTGTGTGCCATACTGTATTGGACTATGTTTGTTAGTGTATGAGGCCAGTGGGTTGTTTTTCTTTCCTCTATATTGTAAATTTATTCGAAATATATTTTTTGTGATATTTAACACGTGTATTTTCTTCGACGCGTATCGGTTGTATTGGTGGTGACAGTGCCTCGGAATTTGAATTGGTTGCACTCGACAAGGTAAGTTTCCTCTTTTTACATAACACTGAAAATTGCCATAAAATATAATTGCAATTACAATAATGAAACAAAAATTTGAAGAATTAACTACATTAGTTTTTTTAGGTACTTTTTTTGCTTGTAAGTGTTATTTTCTGCTGGGGTTTCATTCAAATAAAGACATTTTAACACTTCATATATGACTCGATAAAAAATAGTATATTATTGCAACAAGTTTGATAAACTGCACTTTAGCCACTAGTTTCCTTTATCAAGAGCGGATCGGGTGTTAAACAAACTAACGACTCAGGAACTTTATCAAAAATGCTGCATTACTGTATTTCTTTTTACAACCATTAGGTTTTAGATAACATCCGATCGCACCCAAGTCCGTACCGGAAACGCCTGTGGATAATGAAGCTGACGACTTAAAATGACACTTTCCGCATGCTTTATCATTGCATAAGTGGGTATTTTAGAATGTATGCAATACGAATTTTGCTAGCTTCATTTAAAACCCTTTATAAAAACACATAACTGACACAATTATTCAGAACAAAAAACAATAAAAACAGCGATATTAACACATGTTTGTTAGATATCGAACAAAAAATAATAACTAACAAATAAACTTCTAATTTTTGTTTCATTTGAAGTTACTCGAGTTGTTTCTGGTTCACTTCTCAGAGTATGTATATTTATCTTTGTCATATTATATCTCTTTTGAAACCTACGATTTTATAACTTTTATTTTCACTTTATTTCAATTAAAAATTAATTTTCTTTTTTTTTGTCTGAAGTTCTCACTAGACGGGCGATTTTTCTGATAAATACTTCATAATTGTTAATTTTTCAAGGGCTAAAACTTGCCAAATTTAGGAAGACGAAAATCATTAAGCCTACCTTACCGTTACCATGGAATACCATATTTAACCCTTAATTTATTAGTATCAATTGTAAATTTCAAATTTCAAACAAATGTGCGTTTTTATTAAGCAGGAAGATTATACTTTCAAATAAGTGTTAAATAGATCAATAGATATGTGGAGAATCTATATTTGAACTAAGATTACGAGTTTATTGGCAAAAATGTTTTTTTGGTTAATTTCAGGAAAAAATTTTGAAGCACTCCGTATTTTGTGAACACTATTTTAATAAAGAGATGCGCTCTACTCTTGTGTTTGAAATCAAACACGTAACAAACAGGTTTAGCGAATTTAGCGAGCTTATATTTGTTAAAGTTTTGATTATTATTCTGAACAAAAATAAACGCATCTTTTTCAAAGAGCGCTTGACCAATCAAACGCGTAATATTTTAACGAAAGTTACACGTAAAAACAATTAAATGTGTAACTGGATGAAAGTAAAGAGATTGAAATTATCCGGTCTAAAATAGAAAGTGCAAGTAATTTTAGTGCGTTTAAAAGCAATTATCGCTCCAAATAACCTAAGTCGGTTCAAAATTCCCCACAATAAATTTAAATAAATAATAATTTGTTTCAAGGACGTTATAAAGCAACGAGTACCAAAATTGCAGTTAATAATCGGGAAAATAGTATCTATTAATAAAACAAAATAGCAAAAATAATGAATTCGTTAAAGACGATATTTAAAAATTAGGTAGACAAACTTAGTCACACTTAAAAATTTCGTTAAAACAATGAAAAACCTTCAATTCGATAGTATATCATGCAACAAGTGAGCTAAAAGGCATTTGAATCACGAGTTTATTTGGCACGAACGGATCGCGGCGGAGCGAGTGTTTAATAAACGTAAACTTTTTAAGTCGCTCGCTCCGCTGCGCTCTGCTCGTGCCAAATAAATTCGTGACTCATTTACCGCACTTGTTGCATAATATACTATTTATATAAAGGAGTACAACACTACAAAGACAATTTGGGACGAATAAAAATTATTTTGAGATAATAAATTGTAAAATTTAAATTATTTAAATGTCGAGACGAATTACGACACAATTAATTAGGGGATATTTAACTTATTCCAATGATGCAAACTTAAATTACTGAAGCATAATAATTTCAACCGCGTGAAACTGCTGGTAACAGGTTCTATGCACAATACCACATTTTTATGATATGCCAAGATAATTAATCTGCCTACTTATACTTCTCGTACCACCATGACCTTTAAATGTCTCAGTATGGAACGACCCGAGTTTAACGAAATTGTACAAATTAATATAAGGTTCACATGTAACGACTAAATGATTTGTCAATTATATTAAATTATACATATCAATGCTGCTAAGGATATAATAAAATATTTTGGAATTAAAAGCTTAATTTTTTTGCCAGGCTTAAAAAAACGTTGCCTTAAAAATTTCGACATATATGGAGATAAAAACATACCTTCTACTAGCCAAAATTCTTAAACTTAATGGACATATGAACCCTGAAGAAAATTAATTAAAAATAAGAATACATTTATTAAACGAAGGTTATCGATTCTAGGTAACATAGCAACATTAAATTTTAAAAACACAAAGTTTGAGATCAATAACTTAGTACTTTATCAAATAAATGATATTGCTGCATCAATTTATCTTTGTACCGTTTATCCACAAAACAAACACATACAAATATTTTCACCCAAATAATAAAAAAATAGAATATTTTTAAATGAGGGTATTTTAGTTAAAATATTTTTTATTGGGTCATGATATATATTAGGGCTGCGACACAAATTCTTTCTATCAATTAAGCAGTCATATGTGTTAATTACATTCAAATGATTGGCATAAAAAGGTTCTGCGCTACATTGTAATTAAGTGATTACTCAAAGTTGTTGTTTTAATTATCATTGATTATTCCTTGCGAACAAATGAAGACTCGAATCACAATTATCGAAAAACAAATTTAAAATATTTTTCCGTAGTACGTTTTCATACGTATCATATTTTCTGTCAAAGAATCACAGTGAAAAGTAGAAATAAAACACAACAATTACAAAAACTTTATTGAAACCATATACAAGAAGGAAAACAAATACAAAAACCGTGCTCGCCGATTTTTCCGGAAAAAATCACACTACGATACAATTGAAATAGGTTGAATAATTGTAATTAACAGCGAACACAACTGAACACACACCCACGCGCGTTAATTGGTGTATTTCTTTGCAGACGTTTTCTACCGCGGCACCTAGACCACTGTTTCGTGTAGGCCCGAGACGTAGGAACTCCACCTTTGCGTCGTCCACGACAACGATAACGACGAGTCGAACGACATCCTCGCCTTATTTGCCGACCGCGACTAAGATCGGTCGCAGAAAACCCAGCAGCGAGCTTTTAGAAAGTCAAGGTAAGCACGGGAGTCAGTGGGGACAGGTTCTTCAAAGCTTGTCGATTGTCTAATTGATATTTATTTCGTCTGAGCCAGAAAGATGTCCGAATTGGAGGATAAGAAAATGGGAACAAATGTTAGCCTGCTAAAAGCTAAGCTAAACAACGACATGTCACATTTTTCGAATTTAAAAGAAAGCTTATTTATCTGCTGAGATGATCATAGTAAATGTTAATTGATTTGTCTTTCCGAAATTAAGTTTATGATTTTGCAGTCCGGAACAGTCACATTTCTCCTTTAAAAAAACTTATTAGGAAAGAATATATTTAGTGTTGATTATTCTAGCTTGCAACTTGAGTGTGTCAAAATAATAATAACGCATGCTAAAATACTTATTTTGTCGATAATATAATTGTAATGTAATATTAAGTGTAAGTAATGTAATATTAATTGTTCTGCAGAATGAATCCAACGATTTTTAGCGGTTGATATCTTGAGAATCGTTGACGATTGAGAAAATTTGAAATTAGAGAGAAAATACATTTTTGGCAGAAATTCAGATTTAACTGTTCACGTTGCTATAATCAGTCAGCGCTATACAAAATGGCCCAAATATGGGGGAGAAGTGAAGATATTTGAAAACATAATTTCTCATCCTCTGTCTCATGCTACTCCTATCATCAAATGCTTCCGTTCAAAATAAATAAGTCTTATTATCAGTCATATTTTTCGAAAATTTTACTTTTTTTTTGGGATGTTATATTTTTAATAGAATAAAATACAAGTTAAATGCGTAAATGATCTTTCTATTTTGAATAGTATTTCTCGAAAAACATGATATATTTATTTAATAATTTAAATAATAAATTAAAAGTATATTTGGAGTCAGCGAAAATACAAAAACATATTTATATTAGCTCTTTACTTGTATTTTTAATGTTGTGTTTCAAATTGTTCCAGTATTCCTTGTGGTTGAGAGTTTTTAAGGATTTGGCTAGGGGAAGATGTAAATTACATATCTAGCAAGGCAGGCTCAATCATTGCTAGTGTTAACCACAGTTGGTAAAATTAATATATTTTCAAAAAAAAACAGTGGCAAGTCTATAACATTTTCAAAAAAATTTGCGTCATTTTTTACTTTAGCGCGTCATATGGCGCATTCGAAAATGACGTGTAAAATTAGGAATCGTCTGTAGAATGGGTTGTTATTTATCCGCTGAATGCAAATATGAAAGAGACTTTCCAATGAAACAAAAAGTACCATGCAAACCCGAGAAAAAAAAAACGTTAGTATTTCCCGGCAAATTTCGTTGCGGTTGCAGCAATCGTGACCTAAAATGTATCGATATAATGACTTTTTGCATACAATCTATTGCTTATAGTTTCTTTTTAAAACGCGTAGTATTGCAGATCAAAATCTAGTATTTCACTGGGTCACAATTTACGTTTGTATAATGGTGGACAAGTAACCATTATTAGGTGTGGCTATGACGTGATACCTACGAGTCCCACCTTTGCCATTCTATGAGCATTTTGTTTTGATTAATAGACAAATTATACATAGATATATCTACTACTGACGAAAATAATACTCTGTCATTATTTTCTTTGCACTATAATTTTTTGCCGTCTATATTGCACGAATTAAATTGTCCTTTTTAATATTGACCTGCATAATTTCTGCTATAATTTGTTAATGAAAATTATTTTAACTGCTGAATGCTTGAATTTTATAACAAAAGATTTTTATATTATAATAATGCAAACTACAATTATCAGTTTATAAAAAAGAAAAATTAAAAAACTGAATAAACATTTCAATTTATCTTTAAGTGGAAAATTCTGTTATGAAAAGTTAATTTCCATTTTTGTCTATACAAAGTAATATAATGTAAAAGGACTTAATTAAATAACAAACTGCACATGCCTGGCGAGGCATTGAAAATGTCGGTGGAACTTGAATTCACAACCGGAAATGATATAAAGCCTTGACTTTGAGATTGGCATGAAAACACCGTAAGCTGGCTACGCACTGCGAGCAATGAATGTAATTTATATCACATACTTGACAGTCTAGTAGTCTGTGAAACTCATGTCAAAATCAGTGATGTCGATGTAAACTGCCATTGGTCTGGTAAAACAGCGAATGTGATTTTGTGAGGCAAACTTTACATAGAGGATGATGAATACTAGCAGATATTCGTTTCTTTGTCACGCGTATTAACAATAATACCAGATAAGATCGTTTTATATTGCTTCTCAAGTTTTCTACCTGTTTAGGGCTTTTGAGGGTATTCTACGACCAAAAATATAGTGCTTTGGCGTTTTAAGTATTTTACAGTAGCTTAACCGCAGATCTTCGCCGAACCGTGGTAAAACCCATGCCAACAGATGTTTATTCTGCATTATGTAGGTCTGGCCTGAGATGGACAGTAACGAATATTTGTAGAAACTTTAAATTTTTATTTGAAACGTAAATGGGTCGTTTCGAATGTAATTAAGCATCGATACTGCGGGGTATTTTCGAATTAGTAGAAGTGTTTATGTTCAAGTAAGTACGTATTCATGTACCTGATCCTCGAGCTTTGACCCTGCGAGGCTGTTTGTATTGTGTAATTAAAAGGGTAAGTACCTGTACTCAATTTATCTTACAGGTATGGTCTGTTCAAAGATATAAGAAAGTGACCAATTGCTTTTGAATGGGATTATCCAAGGGTGGACAGTAACATACAATGCAACGAGATCATTACCTAAAGTTTCGGAATTTAAATTGAGGTAAAATTGTGGTCCGTAATAGAAAATAATTTTATACCTACCTGTGTTTAATATTATTTGGTTTGGTATACTACTTAGTTTAAGTTTATTAGTAATTAGTAATACAGCGTGTGTTGAATGGTGTGCGAATTATGCAAAATATGTGCGAGTCTAATGTATCTCAGGAGATGCTCCCCCCAAATGTAGAGACTAAGGAAGTTATAAACAATGTTTATTTGACTCTCAATTGAACGTGGTGCCAGCAAGCAAGTATCTTTAGAAGAAACGGTCACATTGACGAAAATTCCAACATCAACTGTATGGAAAATTGTGAATAACTCCATTACAGCGAGGAAAAAAAGAAACGATGCTGACATTTTCTTGAGTGTAGATGAAAGTGATCAAGATATAATACGGCGTAAAATTTACCAGTTATATGAGGAACAAAGCGTGCCTATATTAGATATCTTAATTAGAAGGCTTAAAAAAGATGAAACCGGTGTTAAATGTGGCAGAACTACCTTATGGAAGTGTATTCAACACATGGGTTTTAGATTTAAAAAAATTGACAAAAGGCAAGTTTTAATGGAATCTTTTAGATTTCGGAAATGGCGACTGGAATATCTAGAAAAATTAGAATTTACAAAGAACAACAAAGGCCAATTATTTACTTGGTTCGGCACTTATGATACCATGGAAAAGGGTTGAGTTGACTCAACTGATAAGTGTAACAAACGCGCCATCAAAAAGAGGTAAAAGAATAAGAAGATGATTTGATCTGAGTTGAAAGCGCATATAAGAAATAACACTGCACCAAAATTTAGTGATAGTACCATAAACATAATTCGATAAGAGGTAGCCAAAATATCTACAAAGCTGATCTAACTGTGAAAAACGAGTAATAACAGAAGAAAATATTTATCGAGAACGACTAGTGGCGAAGGTGACGATAGTAGCGATAGTGACGATTTTTTAAGTTACTGATACTTTATTATTATTATATTTAATATTATCTACTATGTAGAAATGAAATAAAATAGAACGTAATAAACTTTTATCTTGTACAATTTTTTTTTATGTACATGTTTCGAGAATTGCTCGGCGAAAAAGATTGAAAACATACTTATATTCCGCTTGTTAGTTTAGGTAGATAAATCTAGGACGGTCTTGGATGGTTACGGGTAAGGGTCTGCTAGACAGGGCGTTCTATAAAGAGCTGCGGGTTTGGAGTAATAAGCAGTAGGCAAAGTTAATCACGGGATCGGTTGCAAAAAGACAATATTTCTGGTCCAAGTATAAATCTTAAATATTACTTCGTGAAATCATTTTAATCGTTTATTTTTCCTAGAATTAACTAAATGATTGCGATAGAAAGACATTGAATTCCCATTGCTAGGCGTCTTTTCCTAAGAGATCATTTACGCAAGTATTAGATTTTAACTGAACTTAAGTTGTGTTTATAAACATTTAGAGATTAAATATTTTTATATTTTACCTGCAACTATATTTTTTAGAATTCGCTCTTAAATCGTAGTAAATATTATCCATGTTAAAAATAACATAAAATGTGCCAAAACCCATTTACAAAAAAACCAGCATTTACTAGGTAACGATGACTCAAAAAACTAAAAAAATTAAGTTCTACTGTCCAGTTATTGATCAGAAATTTCATAATCATTTATATATTCATTTTTATGATAACAGAATCCTCGCACAATTATTACCAAGATCCTTGAAAAAATATATAGCTGTTGGCACATCTTAACACCCAAATTTGTAGCGGGAAGGTAATAGAACAATATAAGTAAAAAAAAATCTACGGCAAATATCTTTCAATATTACAAATTTGATTTGTTTACATTCGTGTTTTACTTGCGTGCATATTTTTTAAATATGTAATTGTATGTCAAATATTTTTTTCTCCCCCCGTCTGTCTTGCTGTTATTACGTGGAATGTTTTCTTTAATATTACAGAATAAGGTAATGTATTTTAAAACAGCTTTTTTAATTTATAATTTCCCTAGAGTAATTGGCGCATGCCCCAAAAATGACCATGTTTGAAACAATATTCCGAAATTAATGTTCCGCATACGATAAAAATTTTCGCTTCAACGGATTAGAAACTCTTCGAAGTAGTTAAATCGTTACTGACACCGACTGGCCGATGGCAAACAAACCATAACTGATTTAAATGAGAACGAGCTAAGACAAGGAGATCCCATTTATAAAGAAATTATGGTCAAGCAGAAAACATTTACACTTAAAAAGAACCGTTTTACGCATCGGTGAGTTAAAAGCATTGAAATCATTTTCCGTGAAACCGAATCTCTAGAATGCGATTGTTCTTTTTAGCAGGAGATATCTAGTTATGTAATAAATAAGCAGTTCTTAGCTCTTCAAATCTGCCATAGCGCTTACTCTTCTATTTAGAAACCGAAAGCACGATAAAATTGTTACACCTGAGGTGTTAAAATATGTCTTTTGTCCAGGATGATATATATAATCTTCCGCGTATGCACCTAAATTTTATACACTAACCTGTAGTTTGCGCTACGTTCTTTCAGCAGCGAACTCCACACACACTTATCTTACTTTTTCTTTGAAAATTTAATGGGCATATTTTGAAGAAATAAGTTCGAAAAAATGCCACTGTTAAATTGAAACTATACTACTCTCGATATGTCAGCGGCCATGTTGGTTAATTTACATGCATATGATATTTATTAGGAAAGTACCTGTGCATCTTTTTTTTTTCGGTACAATTTAATTCACGTTGGGCATATGTACTAGGGACACTCGCCCATTGCCGATACCAATAGAAGGTTATATTTTATTGGTAACTAACCAACCCTCTAACATCATTAAAATTTTTAATGTCTACATTAGAATCGCGTGTATCCCACAGGGACGGCGACACTTGTACATTCAAAATGTTCACTAAATTCACAATAAACCGATACTAGAGGTAGCGAGTATGTTGTCAGAATAGCAGCTACATGGTTTGAACATGGAAGTTTCAGAAAAAAAATTAAATTGACCGCAAAATTAATTCGGTTATAGCAAATTTATCGAAAATAAAAAATGCAGTTACTGCAACTTTTTGTTTTGTTTTTCAAAAGTCGTTGATATATAAATTTTGATAAATTTTGTATGTGCTTGCTCCTGCAGATCCGATAATCTAATAATAAATTTTGATATTATGGCCCATGACCTGTATCATGGCGTCAAATTCGAAAGTGAAGGTAGATAAAAAAATGTGGGTTATTTGAAATACAAAAACTAATATGCAGCATAGGTATAAGTATCACGAAGAAATATTACTAAAAAATATACATTTAGTAATTAAAAAATGGTTTCATTGTTATTGAAAAATTGAACAACATATTGAGAATTTTTTTAGAATAATAGTAAAAATTTTGTAGGAAACTTTTATATATTCATATAGCATACGACAGAACCCTTTGGTAAAAAGTTATGCATCACAAAATCTGCCCAAATTCCCGTTTACACGCTACGCAAATACCAAGAGGTTTAAAAAATTAATGATATTCACTATGCCAACTAAATACTATCATCGAACATTCCACACGCGTGATTTCACCTATAACAAAGATTTAATGACCGCATAAAATCGAAAGTGAAACGCGCGTGTTATAACCGAAGAAGCGCATCTTCCTATAGGCAGCCGGCTGCTTCTTCTTGCTTAATGAGCAAAAAAGCGATATCGAGGAAACAATTTTAATTGGATAAGATGGGGAAACATCTGTTTACCGAAGAAAAATGCAAACATATCGGGGTCTATAGGTATTTGTTTTTCGCTTATTTGATATATACCTATGTATGTTTATCATTTATGATGATGAATCTTCATGGGATTAATAATATTATTGCAACATAGACATTTAATACAAAATCGTTTAAAAAAAAGGTTGAAAAGTATAACGAAAGGCAATATAGAACGACATACTCGGCGTTTAATGCCCAAGAAATTCATCAACATCAAACATTATCGCCAATACACAGTGGTTTATTTTTACGACCGAACTAAAAACTGTCAAATTCACAAACTGTTTGAGGCGATATTGGACGCCGCCGGATGGTTAAGAATTCCTTATTGTTTGATAGTGAGTTTTCAAATTACTCGAGCTTCCGGATATATTGAATTTCCCTTCTCAACATCTGTTATGTTCTCTTCAAAGACCAAATGGTTGCCAATATCCATACAATTTCATATTTTTGTTGCAGTTACAACTACACAAACGCCGACGCCTATCAACACGAGATTCAAATTTGTTTCTAGAAAAAACGTTTTGAGGACCGCAATCCCTAAGAGAGTGACAAAAAATAAGGAATCTGACCAGACGTTGGAATCTAGCAATCAACAGTCTCAAGAAAAGAACAGGTATTTACCGAGACTTTCAGAGATTTTTTAAGAGAACTTTGTTCGGCAGATTGATTTTGAAACTGCTGTTTACGGCATGCTGAGAATAAATGCTTAGATCTTTCTCACCACTGCAAAAGTCTATTGTACACGATCAGAAGAGAATTAAACAAAGGCTTTCAAATCACATATAAAATATTTACTTATTTTCTCAAAAGCATTTTCATTTTAGTTCCTTCCGTTTTATTATTTTATTATACATAACGTTAGAAATATAATAAAAAATAGGAAATAAAAAAATTGTATTTTTTTCCGTCTTAGAAACAGCGAAGAAATAAAAAAATTAGCGGACGTCGCCCTAGCTCTGCAGAGCGTGCAAAGTGCGCCTGCGCCCGGTAGAAAGAGGCCTAAAACAACGAGAATAGGGCCGGACTTAGCCACAACCAGAGCAGTAGCGGCGAATTCGTATACGACCGCCGCGCAAGACTTTTATACGACTTCTGTCATAAAAGATATCACAATTTCGCCACACGTTAATAAGAAAGGTACGTACTTCTTGTGTATTTCGGATATTTTAACGTAGAAATAACGCTACAACACATCCCAACGGTAAAATATTGATTTCAGACGTGGCTCCATTGGCACAGTTGCCAAGCAGAAGCAAGTATCGGTACTCCAGCAGTTCAACTCCTTTGATACTAATAACGACACCGAGAGCTGACGTCAGAAGGCGAAAACCTTCCGTGCAGGTGTTCGACAAAATTAATGCTTTTGATGAAGCAAATACGTACAGGCCTTTATCTGAATACGATTATTACGACGACCTGCAAGCGAGTATACTGTGTAGGCGTCAACCTTACAACTTTTTTTATTTTAAGAGCTTCATTATAGATGTTTTTCTGACCGAACTTGGTCAGAAACGTTTAATAACCTTCCCTTTGTCAATTTGTTGGTTACAAAATATGAATGGATAGGTTAGCAAAATCTTTGGTTAGTTTCTGTTACACAAAACTCATACTTTTTGGTATTCTAGAGTCAAATTCTATTAAATTATGAATTCTGCTAGCTTGAGCTTTGCTGTAAAATCAAGATTTATTTATCAACATTTCGTGAATGACATGACAAACTTAAAACGTCAAAACCGACAAGGAACCCACCTGCGTCGAAAACTGGAACTATAGTAAAAGCAGGGAATTTGAACAAAATTTGAATTAGAAACATATTGCTTATAAAAGTAAGATTGTACTATTAAAAGAACCACAGTTCACAAAGAAACGAAAAAATTGTAAAATTTAAATCCTCTTTGAAAGGCGCTGTCATTGACTGTGAGCGGTTGCGACGTCAATTAGCTCGTAAAATTACGCGCCAGCCGGACAGTAGCATAGAGAAGCCATTAGAGAGAAGAATTTTAGTCTTGAACCTTTTGTTATCTTGTGTTTAGTATCAAAAAGAAAATTTTGAAAATAACCGTCGACTTTTAAAAAGGTCAATCTGATAGTTTACCTTTTGCATATATGTTTATGATGACATCTTACATACAAAACACAGAAAGATTTTCTTTTGCTGAGGTTCGCGGTGTTAAGCTAAAAGGTATATTCATAGAAGATTTGGGCACCTGTAATAAGCTTAAAGTTTTCTAGTTTCCAAAATTCAGATGGTATATCAAATACAATGTAAATTATTCAACAAAAAAAACAAAAAGGATTTTTTTAACTAGTTTTGATATTTGGTATGCGTTATGTCTATACATACATAAACAAATGTATTAAAGAAATTTTAAAAAATGTTCAAATTCGCAAATGATCTAAATGAAACTTTATATTATTTTATTTTATTATTGCTTGCGGGTTTTGTGATGTGCTTGAGCTCTTTCAGCGAGAATACCAGAACACAGCAAGGTTTTAGTGCACAGCGACGGCAGGATCGAGTGCTTGGATCAGGGCAATTTCCCGCATCCCGTATCATGCAAGAAATTCATCTCCTGCGCCAAGATGGAGAACGGAAAAGTCATCGGCTGGGAGTACACGTGTCCCAAAAATCTCAGTTTCGATCCCATAGGCGGCATGTGCAACTGGTCCGCTGGATTAGGCTGCGTCGAATAAGATTACATCATTCAGAATCATTAATAAAAAAATATTTATTGAAGAATACGAGGGTTGCTATTTGTATTTCTGACTTAGTGAAAAAACAAAAAATATGATCACAACTGGTTTCATATTTTTGCATGCGTTTGAACCAATTTTCAAACCGTTTTTCCATTCTGATTACGCTACCTTCAAAACTTGGTTTTGGAATGCAGAAACGGCTTTTTCAAAATCCGAGAAATGTTGGACGCGCAATTTATTTTTGACATACGGAAAAAACCAATTGAGTGCCAAATCCAGGGCTGTCCTGCGAATAATGATTTGATGATTCGGATGGTTAAGAATACCTTCGTCTGAGCCGATGGTGGTGTACCATTCAGAATTGACCGACTTTCTTTGCTTCAGGCTACTGTTGATAGGTAACAACGGGTAACCGTTGATGTACTTCTTCCGAGAACTATTGTTAGATTTGGCTCAACTTGAAGGATCTATTACAGTCGGTCGCTGTTTTGTTCCGGACTTATCTCCAAAGATCCGTGATTCATCACGTCATATTATACAGCTTTCGATACACCTTGGCTGTATTTTTTCAATATTTCCTTGCATCAATCGATTCTTTTAAGTGTTTCTTAGATTATGTGGGATCCAACAATCCACAATTTTTTTTAGGGCAAAATTTTCATGTAATATCCTATGGATGCTAGTCTTACTTAAGACCAAAGATGCCACTATCTCAGGATATGCCCGCTATGCTTTATTAGTTCCCGCACAGGGTCAACATCATGGAAGTCGTCCTGATGCGTTATATCAGTTGATGTCAGATGGCGCTTGACACCACTTACTGTTACCTAGACCAGAAATACAAGTAGCAACAAATTGTACGCGGCTGTAGACAAGGGAATAAGGCTGTAGTAACATGTGATCGTTATAGGGTGCCTACAACGCTGACACAAGTTTTTTCTTGTAATAATTGTATATACAGAAGCTAGATTAGGTTTTAAATAGATTACCCAAATTTCTAGATATTTTGTAAATATTTTTTATCGTTTAATAAAATCGAATTTTATTTAACGTTAATTTTATGAAAGAAGAAAGAAGCCGACCACAAAAGTCAGAATTCGGCGCCAACTTTACAATACGAGCCCTAACAACTAATTATTCGGACGCTGTACGAAATAATAAGAAAACATATTTATACTTATTTTAAATTGATTTTTTTTGCCTTTTCGACAGAAAAATGAAATCACGCACTTATTTTTATACCAAAAAGGTAATGAATTATTTTTTTATTTCACATAAATTACATAACAAAATATCAAAAACATACCGAATTTGCTGATAAATAAATATTCGGACGCATTTAAATCTTTTACTTTAAATTTTTGTACGAATCACCCTTTTTCGAAAATCGTCTACACACATCAAATTTTGATATTTTAGATTTTGCCCAATCCAAACGTTTTTTCTTCTGAATAGACGTTAATAATGGTTTTTCCTTCGCCTTTAACAAAAGTAGATCATAGAATATTAATAATTTTTATAATGAAACAGGAAAAATTTTAAACTTACCTTATAAAAACTCAAACCAGACTTATTGTCTACATCCCCCTGGAGACATTTAAGTGGGCCTCGTGATTCCATTGGGCTTGAATTTGTCGTAAGACGCTTCGTCTGCTAGTTTTACAAAACTTGACCAGACTACGACGATCTCTTTCAGTGATTTTACGGGGTCGGTCTGAACTTTTACCACGAACGCTAACACTAGCTGTTTCTCCATACTTTTTTATAATATCCCCGACTATTGATTTTGCAATACTCAAGTCATTTGAAATTTTTTGCATTGATTTACCTCTGCAGTACTGAGATATCATAATTTCTAGCACTTTTTTGTTTGTTGCAACACCACGCGTCATTTTCTTATCAACAAACTTGAAAGATACAACCCGAACTGACATCTCATTTATCTAAGCACACTACATTTTACCATCAAGGCATGGGTAACATTGATTTCTTGGTCAATAAACATTCGCGTCCGAATATTTATTTGTCAGCAAATTTGGTATGTTTCCGTTATTTTGCTATGTAATTCATGCGAAATAAAAAATAATTCATAATGTGTAATTGTAATGTGCGTATATTGATTATTCAATCAACAAAGCAAAAAAAAATTAAATAGATATAAAAATGTCTTTTTTATCATTTTTTACATCGTCCGAACATTTAGTTGTTAGGGGTCGTAATATTGGGTTTTGGCTAGAGTAAACAAAAACGAAGTTATAAAACGGAAATCGAAAAAAAACACATAAAATAGTTAAATATATTAACCTTTAATGATTATTGAAAAAATACCATCAAAAAGTAATTTATCACAGACAACATTAAATTATGTTTTTTAATCGTTCGGATTTAAAACCGGATATTGTTGTAATTGACAATTATTGTTATTGTTACGGCACTATCTCGCAAAAATGTATACAAATAAAAACCTACGCACTGGCCAAAATAAAAAGTTTTCATTTTTTATTGAATGCAGCCACAAGGTTCACTTAGAGCCCACCTATGCTGACAATGTTTAGGAGGAATTTTCGATAAGCACAGACACGAGTCATTTCAAACTGCAAACAGAAGCTACTAAATTTTCGGGAAAAAAAAGTGTGTGTGTGTGTAACGTAACTTTTTAAAAGAAATTGACACAAAATTCTTGCTCGTGCCTATATAATCTAATAGCTGTATGGTTAAAAATAATAATACTAAAAAATTAAATTAATAAAATGTACTTAGTCCACTGGTTGTTCTACTCATTAAAGCCCTCATTGGGAACCCGAAATCCAGCGTTCGAAAAAAAATTCTTGGAATTCACTTTCCAAAATCACAATGAGCGTATCATCGACAAATGCGAATCGAAAATGTGCGTCTGCTTTTTTTTTGTTGCTTGGGTATAACTTAACTATTTTTAACGTAAAAACAATTATCAGTATTTTTTCTATTAAATTTGTCCCTTATTAAGTGAACTCCAAATCACATTGCTACCTAAATAAAACAATATTATACAACATTAACAAGATAATAACTACTCTCCATCGGAGCTCGAAACATTGCCGACCTTTTCACGCTCTTAGTAGGCTCAAGATGACGTAATAAGTGTCTCATAGAGTATGGAGAGTGTCGAGTCTTGTTAATGTTGTGTGTTGGTTAGGGGCGGTTCTCCCATCTCTGACAAACTTAAGATTATAACTTCAATGTTTGAGTTAAACTGGTGCTTATTTTTAAAAAAAATGCTTTAAAGCATAATCACAGGTTTATTGTCAATTAAATTAACCGCTACCAAGAGCAGAGTTAAGGTCAGATTTATTAACGACTTCATCGAGGACTCGGAGACAAATAATTTTCGTATGGGAAGGGATGACGCCTAAGAATTCCAGCTGTAGGCATGGTGAGCATCAATTTTTAACCACAAAGTTTTACTACAGCTTATATAATAAGCTTATTTTACATTGAAGAACCGACCCTTAAGCGCAACCACTAATGATTAATAATAAAATCGACGGTAACGAATATAATACACAAGAGAGCCCATAAAATAACGAAACAAAACCAAGCGTAGTGTTTAAAGGGGCTCGTATAGCGATGGCTGATTGAACCAAAATCTCTGAGGCACCGTTTTCTCGCATTGATCACCAATACCGCCGGAACGATATACTGAACTATTACGCCAGCGTAAGACCCAGTCACCTCGATCAGAGTTTTAAGGTTATGGGTGGACAGGGCTAGAATGATGGGGGGAAACACAGCCAAAGTGGGGAAGAGCAACCGCCTTACAAAAAACCCGCGTCTCTCGATACAGTTGACAAACAAATGTGTCAGATTAGCTTGGAGGGTGATCGCTATGATTGGAAAACTGGTCGACATCGGGAACAGTGGGAAAGCGGCGAGGAAGAACCCGACAATTTTCATGACCGTACCGGAATCGCCGGTCTGTATAAAATTCAGTGAATACAATACGTCCAAAGACTCGAAAGCGAACGATCCGGTGAGAGAGAGTAACAAATAAAACGCACAGATAAGAAAAAAATCGTAACTTATTTTTAGCATTATACGGTTTTTGCTCGAAAACGGGGCAATTAGACCGGGTAGTGAGTGGTGGCACATAAAACTGTAGACACTAGATCCGGCCAAGGCGGGCACTTCCACCAAATTAATTAGTCCCGGATGACCTTGCTGGCCGTATTTCAGCAGTCGTACGCAGGCGAGAGTCAGCATGATGGTAAAAGCGATCCATCGCACGCTGACTGTAAACATTTGCAAGTATTTAGTCTTTTGTACGTTGAAATAGGTGAAGGGGCCTATGAGCAAACCAAATACTGTCACATACATTCTGTATATATCCATTTTTGTGACACCGGTATCGTCCCAACAGTACTCTGTAAAATTCTCGGAATTATTGGAAGACCTGCAGCTTAAATTGACCAGGGTTTTGCCTGACGCCGCGGCGTAGATCGTCAAGTCGCCGAAAAGATAGACGCACAAAGAGACGAAAAAAAATACGTGTCCAGTTTTGGAGAGATAAAGGGCGGCCATTTCACCCAGTTCGACTTTTCGGTTCAAACTGTAGTAACGTTTCGTCCTTTGTGTTGACAAAATGGCCGTCTCTTCCGTGCTCGTCGTCTCCCGTTCCGAGTCGGTACTATGCGACACTTCACTTTCCTAAAAGAATGAGGAAAAATTATTCTGAAGTGGTGAAATAATAAATGACTTTATTGTAAACAAAGAGTATAAGATAGAGGGGAAGGTCGCGTATAATGTAACGAATGCCATCCAATATTTGTGTCCAAGTACTAAAGTACTGTCATGGCGGATTAAAATAATGCGTCACACTGAAAATACTACAGTAGCTTGTAACGGGTAACAGCACTTTATTTATATTTAAAAAAAAAAATTAAAACTATTTCGACATAATTTTTTTTTCACATTTTACATTTTTACGCTTTTTAACATTGCCAATAATGGGAGCCTCCTCCTTTTTTCTTATACTCTTTGGCTTAACCCATTTTTACAAGAAATTAAAGGCTAAGAGAACGTGGGAACAGAATAACACAGATGCTCAAAACCATATAGCTATTAGATAACATAGGAGCCACAAATACAATATAAGTGATACCCTTCAGTCCAGCCGACCTGCACTGCACTTTCTAAACAGCGATCTCTACACATTTATCTCTCTTCTCCCTGAAAGTTCAAGGGATCTGGGCATATACTAACAAAACTGAAAACTATCGAATTCACGATCAAATATTGATTGTTGAACGCCGCAAGTGTTCATTGATTGAAAACGAGATGTCAAATAATACGTCTTATTGAAGAAGTGCCTGTTTTACCACCAAAGATAATGCCGATGTCTAATATATTCAAAACTATCGTAAAAGAATTTCTTAACCGACGACAACAATTTATATACAGATGAACAAGTCGATAAGAGTAAACAAACAATGCAAGTAAAAACTGACTAAGCAGGCCAGCAGATAATTTACCCGTCATAGCTTTGTCAGCTTTCGTTATTTTTAAACTGGTTTTTGATCTATTGCGTAAATCACAAAATGTAGCGCAAAGAATAACGGCAACTTTGTTTAGTTTCTTGATTCACTAACCACAAAGGGTTACTGCGGGACAACGAATTATTTATTTTTAAAATTCTTTTTTTTTGTACCCCTACTCTAAAATACCCACTTTTGCACTTAATGAGAATGTTAATTTAAGACGTCAGCTTGGTTACTTGCAATAACGACCTATTTCGGACATTTCTGGTACTTTGATCATGGATTTGGGATAAATAGGATGTTTTCGGCAAATTTTTAATAGTCAAATCAAATTCACTAATGTAATGTACCCAAAAACTAATAGCCATAGAGCCATATTGTTAACCACTCGTTCCGTTGGGGTTGGCTAGTGCCAAATCAAACTTGTTACATAATATACTATCAACTAAACATAAAAGATTTAAGTTATAACTGCCAACTTTAGCAATTTTTTTTTGTTTTTTAACATATTCTGTTGTTGTTTATCACTTTTCGCACTTTTCCAGTGGTCAAAAAAACTTTATCAGACCCAATATTCCAATATTTTTATTACTATCAATACTTTTGAAGACCTATTTAAAGTTCGATTCCCAAACAATTACTTGTTATGGATGTCTTATTGGAGTTTGATATGTTAAACATGAATATTCTTTTAAAAGTTTAAAAAGAATAAAAACTTATATAAAGAAGATATTTTCTAGTAAAATAAGTTGCCAACGAAGTCTGAAATGTAATCCGAAGGGCTTACTCACATCAATTTTATGTGACTGGATCCTCCTCCATTCAATTGTGGCATTAGCACATGCCATACTTTCTATTACAAAAGTAACATTAATAAAACTCACAAAACACAACAGCATCAGCATAAAGGTACTAAATAGCCATCCAGCACTAGCAAAAGCAGCTGGAAGTGTTAGTGCACCTGTACCAACGATTAAATTGAAAACATAGATCAACCCCACCTAGAACACAGATTATTAGGGAATTTAAAAAAATAATGGAAAAATAATACCCAATGCGGATATTTGTCGCTTAATGGCATTTTGTTTAAATTTTAAATAAAATATGTATATTAACCACCAACATAATACCATTCATCTGGAATCTGTAGGGCTAACAGTAAAAATAAATTACTTTATCTAACAATTTAAAGTATCGTTGTGTCCCATCTAGAGCACAAGGAATTTTGAACCCATCCCTCGGCAGTACAAATGAACACATACATTTTTTTTGTTCCTAGCATGGATCAAGAAATGGAAAAATAGCAGGGTAACATTAAAAGAATTTTTATATTTTCTTCTTCTTCTCTTTGTCTTTGCCAACTACAGGTTTTTTCGGCCAATGTCATTACTTAATATCAAGTTCCCATTTGCGACCTTCGTACATCAACAGACAAATTTTCAATACCTCCAATATGCATATGTCGTCGATTGGCTACAATCGAACTTATAGTGAATAATTGTCCTTGTCCATTCAATACAAAAGAAAAACAAGGACAGAATTTACAAAAATCGCAGGTTAAATCTTACCACACAGTCTTGTACAACGTGAATCATAAATGCACATGCAGAAAAACGGATATAGAACTGACAAAAATGTATGGTTCACTATTGTCGCTGACCCCAGCTGGACGTATAAAATCATGGAGATAAATTCATCTGCATGGTCAGCTTAATAAAAATAATTTTTAAAAAGACGGAGTCAGAACTGATCGAAACAACAGGTTCGATGTAGATTCAGTTCAACGGATAACAAATGATGCAGATAATTAATCCGCCTTATCCATAAAAAAAAGAAAAAAACAGAGGTTCACTTTTGTTGGTGAGTACAGCGTGACATAAAAGATGATAGATAAAACCAATCTAACTCATAAACATTAATACAACAGAAAGATAATTGGTTTACTTTTTGTTAGAGGAACTAATGTGACATGTATAATGAATTAACCCAACACGTTCGTTGATTAAAAAAATTACCAGGCTCTAGAACCTGATGGCTTACGCTACTACATCTTCTGCATACATTTCGTTTCTAGAGCACAGAACGAAATAGCTGTTAGTAGTCTGTGGCCAGAGGTAGACCGATGACACTAACCGCATTAGCACAAACTTTGCAGCTTTTCATTGCACTAAAATAATTAAGCACATCATTGGATGGTAGACACTGCAACGTGTCTACCATCCAAAAATTAGAAGTTAAAAAAACATGCAGTTCAACTGCCATTTTTATCTGATAAATTTATTTGTAGAAATTTCATCCAGTCTACCGAGCTTTAGTATTGTATTTGTGCCAGTCTAATAACTGTTTTTTTAATATCTACAAAATTGAGTTATGAATTTTGTTGTGTACAATTAGATTTTGCACTGCACTCAAGAGAAGCAAAGGTTCTTTATTTTTATTGCCCATAACTGTTAAAGAGCAATGTTGAAGGTAAAGAATTAAGGACGAGTCTTCTTTCATTCTGATTGAAATTATTGCATATTTTCATCATTTCGGAGTTCACTTTGCAGTCGTTTTGTCAGCTATGGTGGGGGATACAGCACAATAAATTCAAGTTTCGATCAACAGGATATATATATACTATTTAGATGCGCACTGAATTGAAGAGTACCAATTCAGAATTAGTTGTATTAAAATACATGTATTTTTACCTATGAATTTAATAGATTTTTTAAAATTTAGAACTAAACAATAATGGCGGCTAGCAAAACTACTTTTTCTTCTTGCCTTTTTCTTGGAATCCCTGCTTGGATTTCCTTTCAAGTTGCATCTGCTTGAGTTTCATTGCAAGTTTTGTTTGGGCCTGCTGATGTTTCTCTTGCGATAATTTTGGTTCAGGGTGGACATATTGCCTTCTTTCATCTCTTTTTACAGCCTCTCCGCAGCCATGTACTTCAGGCAGACCGTGCGTTGTGCAAAACCTTGAGTGGCAGTACTTACAATCTATTGAAATGAGATTTGTTTTGTTTTTACATTTATCGAATGAACAGACATTATCGATGTCTTTGACTTTCCGAAGCACGTCATCGATATCTTTAGATGACGTCGCCTCTTTTAGATCTTTTTCTTTATTTTTAAGTTCCTGTTTACTTCCTTTTGCAATAGTTTTTGTAACAGTAGACATTTTTAAAATATTGTGGTTATGTCAAAAATTTCTTCTTCTACGGTTCTGCGGTAGCAAGAATTATTCGAGCTATTTTCCCCAATATCGTTTTTAACAACTTTTTCTGTGGTGTTGCTGATAACTGTCAAGGACGCGTGCAGAATTCCGCAGAGAGGGGGGTTGGCGTACAGGGAAAAGCACGTGTTCGCGCTGCTGGTGGTATCTGAAGTTAATCGAAGGGGTTGAAAAGTTAATAGTCTGTTGTTGAATAGTTTTGAGTTTGGACATTTCATTTGTCATCTTTCTAACCGTTTTTGTTTACGAACAAAATGGCTCTCGGTACAGCAACGGATGGAGTCAAGAACGAAAATAATGATTTTCGAGATAAGGTTTTGAATGGCGAGAAATCTAAAAAGGGGTCGTCCGATACCCTGGACTCTAATGGTATGGAATTTTGAGCAATTTTTATGGACATCATATAAAGTCTAAATTATTATAACTTTCCTTCAGTTTATGTTACATAACATTTGAATATTTTTAAAAATATGTTTTGATGTTTCAGATTTCTGAAGGAACACAATCACATTGTTATTTTCATGTATTCTCTCTAGTCATTTGCATTATAATTTACATTTTATGTGACATTAATGACCAAATTTGAGAATGTATTAAGTGATTTGACGCCGTTTTATGTAATTTTTTAATTCATCAATGGGTTACCTATAAAAGAGACAAATTTAAAAGAAAAAAATAAAATGTGTGGTTTGAATTCCCCTTTAAATAAATTTGATTGTTTTCATTGCAGAAAATAAAGACAATGAAGTAGTGAAACCTTCACAAGAAGAAACGGGTATGGTGGTATTGATTTGTATTTTGTTAACAAATGGCAATTTATTCCTACATTATATACTTAATTTAAATTACCTTTGTAAAATTTGTGGTTTATGTATATATATTTTTAAATATTATTTAAAAAAAAAAACCTTAGATTTCTGGTATAAATACTAAAAACACTACAAAAATAAGATATGAGTGAAACAAAGTAATTAGTTATTGATTTATATAAATACAATTTAATTATTTTATAGAGAAAAAACTTGCCAAAGACGTTGAAGAAAAAGAAAAAGATGAAAGTGAAGAAAAAAGCAAAGATGAAGTAGTTTTCATTCAAGATGTAGGATTTACAGTTAAGATTATGAGTCCCAGTGTGGAACCTTTCGATATTCAAGTGGGGGTGTCTGTTCTTTTTGAACTTTTGGGAATTAAACAATACTATTCCAGGTGTCTAGCATGGAATTAGTTCAAGAAATACATCAGCTGCTGATGGATCATGAAGACACGTGCCATCGAACATGTTTCTCCTTACAGCTCGATGGGAATATGCTCGATAATTTTGCCGAGCTTAAAAGTATAGATGGCTTGAAAGAGGGCTCGCTGATAAAGGTTGTTGAAGAACCTTATACAATGCGCGAGGCCCGCATTCACATAAGACATGTCAGGGATTTGTTGAAATCTCTAGATCCGGCTGATGCTTATAATGGTGTAGAATGTAATTCTTTGAGTTTTCTCAATGTCATTACCCAAGGGGATATTTTAGGTAAGCGTCAAAAATATATGTTTTAATTTAGAAAAGCATATTTTTGGATGGTGAATATAAAAATTCTAAATGCATTTTCGCTTTGATACTGTGAGGGGGAAAGATTTTCAGACTCGATAGACACTATAGCTTATGTAATGTATCTAATATTTAATTTGTATTTGAAGAAATTATAATAATTGAAGATGTTTATTATGAATTAATTAGTTGTCAAAATTTCAATGGAATACTCCTCATTTGCGTCCGTATTATTAGCTGCATGCGCCCATAGGCGCGGTAAATTTTCAGTATTGTAGTGCAAATCTAGGCCTATTTAGTCTACAGTTTCATGGTGCAATAAGAAGCAATATTTTCTTTCAATTACTATTAGAAATTTGTCATATTATAGAAAAAAAGAAAATGCGCCCCGAAGGTGTTGATTGCACCCCTCCAGATTACATAATGCCAGAAAGTAAAGACAGACCATTGACAGCGCTACAGCCTCATTTGAAGGAACAAAAAGTACCCCACTGCATAAAGGTAGAGGCTCTCTTAAATACTATAAAGTGGTATAAATTCTTTTTTGTTGGACAGGTGCTTACAACGTCGAGTTGGAATCCGCCGCCTGGTTATCGTAAGCTGCACGGCGATCTTATGTATCTCTATGTTGTCACTCTTGAGGACAAACATTACCACATATCTGCATGTTCTAGAGGATTCTACATTAACCAGTAGGCTTTTATTATATTTATCAAAATTGTGATGTTATTGCTATTCCACCTGCGGTGCCTCCAAATCTTTGCTCCCTGGATGGTTTAGATAGTTTCTCAGGCTCAACAAGTTGAGCTCCTAGTACTCTTGATCGGCTGCCCCCTAGTGGTTAGCCTTCATGTGCTGTCGTCGGCCACTCTCATGATATGAATATGCCTTCTTAGATGGCAATATCATGTTAGGAGTTGTACCAGCGTTCATAGTCGCGCAACTGATCCTGAGTCGTAGAGGGTCATAACTGCCTAAATTCTGGTAAACTCTTTCAATGCACAAAAATTGCCTCCTGAGCCATTTATTCAGCTTATTAATTAGCTATCCAATGGCCCTAGTTCAATACCGCATTTTGGCGGCACCTTGGGCCAGTTTGTTGTTTACCAAATAATTACTTATCAGGCTGTAACTTACTTAAAGTGAATCAATAAAAAAAAAGAAAGTATCATCAGGTCATGTAGATGTTGTCAATACATTAAAATTGATACACCTCGGGCAGGTATGTCATATATAGGGAATGATCTACGCATCTACCTAAACCCTATCTTTTTTTAAACAGTGATGTCCACACATTTAGTTGTTTTTCGAACGTGTGATTTGTCTAAATAAATGTCAACATTAGCAATAACACTTCATTCCTATTTAACAGGCCCATGCATAAATGTGGTGAGCATTTTAGAAGAATTTGCATTTCACACGCTGTGAAGCTCGTTAAATGCGATATAATAACTATAATAACCCACGCAGGTCAACAGTGGAAGAGTTTAACCCCAAGCCCGCTACTCCTAGTCACTTGTGCCATTCGCTGATCGAGCTGCTAAACCAAATCTCCCCCCAATTCAAGCGTAACTTCGCTATGCTACAAAAAAAACGCAGTCAGCGACATCCGTTTGAACGGGTCTCCACTCCCTATCAGCTGTACACCTGGACAGCACCCGTGATGGAACACACCATAGATGCCATTAGAGCTGAAGATAGTAAGTTGTTATTTGATGGGCGCTGCAAAGGCGATTTTTCATTTTTGTCTAAAACAAATCTGCGTTGGTCATCGTTTTGCTCACGTCACCCTGTTACTTGACAGCTTTTTCCTCAAAATTGGGCTACGAGGAGCATATTCCCGGTCAAACGCGAGACTGGAACGAGGAATTGCAAACTACCAGGGAGTTACCAAGGAAAACGTTACCCGAGCGTTTGCTACGGGAAAGAGCTATCTTTAAGGTAGTTTCGATATGTCTACCAAAGTTATTGTATCCAAAGAAGACACAACAGTTCATTAATGAAATAAGTATAAACCAGCTGCCAATAGAAACAACATTTTGAATGGTTTGGTTAGCCAAGGTTTTAATTTTTGCAGCGCGATGTTGCCGAAGGCGTAGGAGAGTCTGGCCTAAAACGGCATACCATTTGTTCTGTTGAGAATAACATGGAAATTACCAACTTGTCTTAAAGTAAAATGGTTTTTGTAAGTTTGTTTTCATACTAGCACACTAAATGTGCCGCTCAATTTGATATTTTTTTTTGTCAAAGAAAGAAAAAAAGATCCCATACGTTACCCATACTACAAAATAAAAGATTTTGTCAAATACGAAACAAAAATAAATTTGCATTAAAAGTAAATCTAGTAAATAATCTATATGGGGTATTACAGCATACATATTTATGTATTAAAAAAATTTTAATCGGTTTTCTTTCAAACATCAAATTATGTCTTTGTTCTTGACTACATCTTGTTTGCCATTACAGTATCTAATCCAACCCTTTCTAGCTTTTGACTTCGAAAGTTTCTCACAAAAGAAAATATAACAGAAATCATGTTCATCATCGGTCACTTCTGAAACGGTTTTTTTTTCTTCAAACGCATATTCCAAATTTATGCTATGCGCTCCAAACAGATTTACGTCTTTCTCTCGTTTGGCATTTTTTTTCTTTCAATTCCAACATAAGCGGACTACTGATAAGCATTGCAGAAGTTTTGTTTCTTTCAGTAGTATTATTGGCGATTGGTTTGTCTAGAATATTTTCTAAAACGCAATTTTATCGCACTATAACGTTTTATAACATTGTCATTAATAATTCTAGTTTAAATGAAATGTCTACAAAAATATAACAACTAAGTACTCACCTAATATTTGATTTAAAAACTTTACTTTAAAAAATTTCTGCACTTTAATTTGAGACAAACAAAATATTTGCTGATGAACAAATAACAAATTCGTAATTCGGCGTAGAACTAGCTGGAATACAATGTTGCAAAATTGGTGGATTGTCCCTGGTAGCTCCACGATATTAAAACAGTGTTGTCAGTGTCAGTCTTTCCTAGCATACTTACGAAAACTGAAGTTTGGTTATTCCACACTAACCATCACAAAATCATTTCAAATAGCTGTTTAATTAATATTTAGAAACCACACACTTGCTCAAATAGTGAAATCTCAATCGGCAAACAACCAAATTTAGCATCCAAATTCAAAATGTCAAAAATTCCAAAGCAACATTTCTGTTGGGTCAAAATTTTTACGAATCGTAGTAATATGCGCACATGTCGGAAATAGTAATGTCTTGTCGGGTCTCTTGGATATAATGTCTTGGGTGCCGACATTATAGAGTTGGGCGGTCAACCGTTTTTTGTAGGTCCACAGTGATTTCGTAGCAGCCGCCACCAAAGGTGCTATGGCCGTTATCGACGGCAACGTGATGGCGATCAACCCCGGCGAGGAAGCCAAGATGCAAATGTTCATATGGAATAATATCTTCTTTTCGCTTGGGTTCGACGTCCGCGACCATTACAAAGAGCTAGGTGGAGATGCGGCCGCGTTTGTAGCACCTGTAAGTATAAGCGTGAGGTGCGCCTTACAACTTCACTGAAATGGCTGATAAACCAACAAACCAAAAACGACCTATGCGCGATGGCTTATTCCGAAATTATTCGCGATTTATATCATTCATACAGGGTGCTATTAAATTGACTTTACCCTGATGCAGAGTCGATATTTTCTTCAGTTGAATTAGGGTAAAAAAGAAAATTTATAACCTTGCCGGACCAGAAAGACCGCTATAATTGTTGCCCAAAATTTCTAATGATCTCTAACTGTAATTTTTACAATTCACCAGATATAATTTTGCAATGCAAGTATCACTTAAACATGTCAGCAAATTGACAAAACGATGTTTTAGTAGCCAATTCTTAGGTTTAAGCCTGGTTAGTTTAAATCTAGCCAACAGATATTTCAAATACATTTAAACAATCTTCCTTAAGTATTTAAAAATATTGAATTCGATTAACTCTTAGTTGAAAACGTAAGAGAGTTATTACACGTAAATTAATTTTGATTTATATATTCTGGAGGCGCCAAGATGTAATTTCAATTTTATTATTCTCAGAAGAGATGCTTGTCGGTCTACCATGAAGCGTACTTTCACGTTTTAATGTAAATTGTGCTTTTGTTAAAATCAGGGCCCTATTTAAGTGCTCAGAGTAAAAGTGGTAACACGGTAATAATGGAAGGGGCTGTTTTTTGCTATTGCAATCAGCAACGGCTTTGTATTGTAAGTAGTGGAAATAACAATGTCACTGCATAATTTTTTCATATTTCGACCTACGTTCACCCCAAAATTCACCGATTAAATTATATGATGTCGTCGAAGAGTGACGATATATTAACATGTCCATAAGTTCCTTCTACTTTTAGCGTAATGATTTGCAAGGAGTCAGGGTGTACAGCGCGGTCGATTTACAAGGCCTGTACACTCTGGGCACTGTAGTCATAGACTACAGGGGATATAGAGTGACTGCACAGTCAATTATACCAGGCATTCTGGAACGAGAACAGGAGCAGTCGGTCGTATACGGGTCCATCGACTTTGGCAAAACCATTCTGTCCCACCCAAAGTACCTGGATTTGGTAAGTAAAGCGCAATTGGAACAGTTTTTTTGTAAGCATATTAAAGACGGAGTGGTAATTTGTTGTTTACAATCTGCTACTTTTTACCGAAATCTATATGCATTTCACTTGCATTTTTTAAAAGTGTCTTTGTTTCATACTTGTATACTGTATACATATGTAGTTTATTTTCGAAAATGTTATCCTAAACTGCTTCAATTAGTAGTTGTATCTATCGTACTACATTTTGAGCGAACCGATGTTGATGATTGTCCTATTTTCACATCATCAAATCTAACACATTTTTTAATGTTTCTAATTTTATTGTTGCAGCCGTTAATAACAATAACATTAACAAAATTATCTCCCGAATCGATTTTTTTGTTGGCCTTGTGGAAGAGGAATAATTGTTGTACTTGGCTGACTTGGCTTCAGCGTTTCATAGTTTCACTTTCTTTTTCTTCTTGTGATTATTTATATTTTATTTTGAATCAATGGTCGATACGGTTTGCTAGGTGGTAAAGTCTATTTTTTTAATGAAATTTGAAAAGTAGTGAAATTTTCTATTGTTAGCTGAGCAAAGCTGGACAGCAACTAAAAATCCTACCCCATCACGTCATAAACGACAAAGATGAACCCGTAGAACTGTGCTCCAGTGTAGAATGCAAAGGGATAATTGGCAACGATGGTCGCCACTATATTCTTGATTTGTTACGCACATTTCCTCCCGACGTCAACTTCCTGAAGTGTAAGTTTTGAGATAACAAAAAAAGAAACAATCAAATGATGTGCTGACCCATGTCTAGTGGAAGGGGAAGAGCTGAGCAAAGAGGTGCGCGCGTTGGGCTTTCCGATCGAGCACAAACATAAGTTGTGCTGTCTCAGGCAGGAACTGATCGACAGTTTTGTCGATTCCCGTTACATGATGTTTATCAAATACGCCGCCTACCACTTGCAGCAGCTTAATCATCGGAAAACTGCCGAAAAGCTAAACAACAAGGCAATCGAAGAACAACAACAGCAGGAACAGGATAATAGGAAAAAGGAAGAAAAAGTCTCTGAGGACGGGGAAGAGAAGAAGGATGAAATCGAAGAGGACGAAGCTAAGAAAATTGTGGAGAGTATCACGGACGGTAGTAAATTAGAATGTAAGTAGGGTCGATACCGTAGGCGGTTTTGATCGTGAATGGTGCGTTGCGGTTACAGTGGAGGAGAGTACTAAGAATATTGTGAAAACCGCTTCGATAGCGGTGGGCTCGTTGAAAGATACCGAGTTTGACATTCGCTTTAATCCGGACGTGTATTCGCCCGGAATTAGGCACAGCGACAGTTTAGATCCTCCCTTGTCGAAGCAGCGGCAACTGGTTAAAGATGCTGCCGAGTTTCTGCTCACCGTACAGATTCCCACATTTGTAAGTTGCTTTTGTTCTGGTTTATTAAAAACTTTTTAATAAGACTTAAGAAAAACAGTTGAAACTGAAGAATATGTTAAATAACAATGATGGTTCGGCTCACGGTCACGCCTTGGTTACAGCGGTCGCAATTTTTTTGGACCCAGATATGCCTTAATTATATATATTTTTGATGTTAGAGTATTTACTTTATCTACTTGATATTTTTAAGAAAATAACAATTTTACGGATTCTTAATGTGAATGAATGGTTATAAAATCCAAATATTTTTAACTAAGAAAATTTTAAGAAGTGCTCTTAGTTTCTATTGCTGAGAATAACAATGGATATGTACTTTGGTCACGGCCATATGGGCCATATTAATGTAATATAATCTCTTTCTCATCTTAGCGTAACTATTTGTAAGGCCTCAGGGTATACAGCGCGGTCGATTTTGTAATACTTTGACCAATTCACCTCTTTTAGTTTTATGTATGCGAATAAATCATACTTTGAGAAAGTTAACTCAATAATTGTACAGAGTTTGTCCTAATAACCTACTAAAAGTTCCAGGTTATCAAAGCGTGAATCTGATATTTTCAATAATTGATGGCAATGCGATACAATCAAGCGATTCAAATTCTAGTCGCAAGAGTTCCATCATAATCTCGATAATTGGCAAAAGAATATTGTCTTCATCACTAAACCGACCATCAATTTTAGCTGTACCCATAAGTTAAGTGAGTGCCTGGTTTAGGTATAAAAAGTTTTAACTGGTTTGAAATGTAAGGCGCTCGGTTTTCCAAAAAAAAAGTTTAAAATATTAGAAATTTAATACTCAACTAATAAAGACTCAGCGGACCATCATATTGTTTGTATATTAATTTTTGCAGCGTGCTGCCACCCGCACAAGTAATTGTAAAAAAAAATGTGTCAATATGCTCTGTTTTTTTGATGCGAGAGAGTTATAAATCATTGACCTATAAAACCTGGCGTCTCAGCCGTATTCCATAGGGGTAGTATTGCACCTATGATGGTGGTCAAGGGTCCCGAGTTTTACAATTTTTATAGTTATAGTATCGCTTTCTAAGGTCTCCATGCAGCCAAATGGAGTGATTGAGAGTAACTTAGAAAAAATCTGGATATTTAAATCGTTTTCTATTTTTGTTTCAAAGAAAATTCCGCAGGTTGTGGAATTTGTAGGTACACACCTTCTGGATTTATGAAGGTTTCAGACAGCGATCTGCAGCATGTTTGGCAAGACAGAGCCAATACCCGACGTAACAGAAATCCAGAACGAGTGTATAATTGTCTTGTATTGAAAAAAGTACATTTTGGTTTTGTGTTTTTTTAAATATTCCTGCTCCTTTTCAATTGTAGATCAGGGACTGTTTGGATCATTCGTCCGCCCCCATGGACGGTTTTACTTTGTCTGAAGCCCTTCATAACCGAGGCATTAACATTCGGTATTTGGGCCGCCTCACGATGTTGCTCTCCAAGGTGAGGCAGCTCGAATATTTGCATTGCATCGCCGTTTCGGAGTTGATTTTGCGCTCGGCCAAGCACCTGTTCACCACTTATTTGCAGGTACTTAGTACTGTGTGGTAGTCATGGTGGTAAACTCAATTCTCTTATTTTAGGGCTGTGAAATGATTAACTTATCTGTTGCCATTTCGCATTTCTTGAATTGCTTTTTGTACTCGGGGATTGTCTCGAATCCGTTACAAAATGTCGACGAGGTACAGTACATTTTTACGTACAAGGTGTTATTTAAATGACGGCCTATATTATAATGGGTGATTTTTCGTAGTTTTATTTTAATTCAAGTAGAGATATCTGAGCAATTCTATGATCTGAAAAGTGTTTAAGAAAGTGAGATGTAAGAAAGAAAGAATCAATTATTCATTTTTAACTTTTGTCTAGACTTAAAAATCGGATTAAAGTTGTAAATTGTAATTGCCATTGGACACTAAAAGTATTCGTTTAAGACAAGAATAAATACATTTTATGCCAAATCTTTGGAGCCTTTTTTTTTTCGAATACCAGACGGTAACATGGTTACGAGCATTTTAACAGTTGAGTTAACTCCGAGATTTACTGATTTGCTTTCGATGTCATTTAGATAACACCCCGTATAAATGCGTAAACAACGTTCGTCGAAAACCAATTTCAGCTGCAAAACAAAAACAACAAAAAGCGCGGCAAAAGGCGCGGCAGGACGAATCCGTTGTCCTGCAACGACAATAACGAGTGGGCCAATCTGACACCGAAATTGTTGTGGGCTCAGTTGAAATCAGAATTGAAGGCATATTACGATTACGACTTGTCGACAGTCGACATCGAAAGCACCATCGATCACTATTCATTACAGAAAGTGTCTCTCCTGCGGGGCTTCTGCCTGAAGACCGGCGTTCAGATTTTGTTGCGCGACTACAATCTCGATTCCAAGAACAAGGTGATTTTTTACGAGGAAGATATTTTGAACGTGTTCCCGATCGTGAAACATATCAACCCGAGGGCCAGCGACGCTTACAATTTCTACACGACTGGCCAGAATAAAATTCAGCAAGGCTTTCTCAAAGACGGTTATGAGCTCATTAGCGAAGCTCTCAATTTATTGAACAACGTTTACGGGGCCATGCATCCCGAAATAGCGCAGTGTTTGAGGATGATCGCTCGATTGAACTACATATTGGGTGACCACGCGGAAGCCATGGCTTATCAGCAAAAGGCTGTGTTGATGTCAGAGAGGGTGAACGGCATCGATCATCCTTATACCATCACGGAATACGCCCACTTGGCGCTGTACTGCTTCGCCAACAGCCAAGTGACGACCGCCCTCAAGCTCCTGTACAGGGCCAGATATCTAGCTGTCATTGTTTGCGGCGAAAATCATCCAGAGGTCGCCCTGCTTGACGTGAGTGTTCTAGTTAATCTTAAACGTTATTTGATTTAATTTTCAACGTGTCATTTTTCATAAATGCAAAGCGCTGAGAGTTTCTAGCTTGTCACCATTGCCTTGGTTTGAACCAGCGTTTTGTAATACAAAATTACATAAACTGCCCAAAAACAAATAAACCCAATTTTCAACAGTGGCTTGGTAATTTTAATGAACGTCGATTTTTGTATAACTTTAACAAATTACGGCGGTGGACTCAATTAGAGCGTTACTTTTTGTTCTTTTTTGCTAATGGATGAAGTAAAACGTATGTTAAGGAATGAAAAGTACACATTTTTTCTATTTAGAGCAATATCAGTTTGATTCTTCACGCCGTCGGTGAATACGAGCTCTCCCTTCGTTTCTTGGAGAAAGCTTTAGCGCTGAACATGAAATATTACGGCGCCAAATCCTTAAAGGTAGCGGTGACGTATCACCTCGTGGCGAGGACGCAAAGCTGCATGGGTAACTTCCGACAAGCGCTGAATAACGAGAAGGAGGCGTTCACCATTTACAAACAACAAGTAATCTAAGAACCGAATTTCTTTTTGTTCCAAAAATTAATTGTCTTATTCCAAATAGCTGGGCGAGAACCACGAAAAAACCAAAGAGTCTTCGGAGTGCTTGAAGCATCTCACCCAGCAAGCAGTGGTCTTACAGAAGAAAATGAACGAAGTCATCACCGGCAAGAATGGCGCCTCTATCCCCCCTATTCAAATTCAACCACCATCCATGGGTTCCGTACTCGATATGCTTAATGTTATCAATGGGATACTCTATGTACAGATTAGGTAAGTATCCAGTTACATTCACAAAAATGGAGCCAGAAATAAATGTTTTTTTAGTTGAGATTGTAGGTAGTGTCACTTTATAGCCTAAAATCGTTTGCAGGGATTTTATTTTAACGTTTTCTAGTAGAGGGCGTTGCAATGAGAATATTGAATTTTTCATAGAGACAAAAAAATTGTTTTTAAGGCTAAACTTACCAATACATTGATGACGCTTGCCCGCATATTTTGCTTTCAGCTTACAAAACTTTCACTTTACCATTTACTGCCATTCAATCAGATTTTAATTTTAGTAGCTTGTTCAATTCAAAGTGTTTTAGGTTTCAGTGTTAAATGTAGAGTCCTATCAGATTTTTTAGATTGCTGATACATATCGCCATTAATATGTTTAAATGAATTCTTTTCCGGCATCGACTGTGGAGCTACGGGCAGCATCTATGCTCCTGTGCTTACCTCATCAGGGTTCCCTAAGATATTGGAGGAACACTAAAGTGTTTTTATAAAGTTTTCAGTGTTGCCTAAATGCCTAATTCTTTTTCGCCCACGTTTCTTCTTCCTGAGAATCCTTGCACAGATCTTGATAGGGTTTCTTTGGTGATCGAGTTTATTAAAAAAATTACGGAGTATCACAAAATGAAAACGAAGCATTACATCGGCGTATGTTAGTTTATGATTTCTATTGCAGCACTGAAGACATCAATCACTTAAAAGCGGAGATGGAGAGGCGTCAACAAAGCGAAGAACGAGAAACCCAAAGCCTAAAGCCGATCGAGGCTAAAGAATAACGATAATAATACAATTTCGCGAAATATATTTTACCATTTCATATTCTTTAGATGCGGTCGATAGGCTAGTAGTGAAATATGGTTGTTCGGCGCCGCGCGACGGCAATTCTGCGAACTAGTCAGTTTCGGTGTCCTATATAGTTTTGTTGGTTATATTTTTTTATTTTTAAGGGCGTTTGCGAACAAAGTGTGCCAGATCTGACACGTTTCGGTAGTATTAAAAGTTCCTATACGCGATACCAAAAATTTATCCTAGATTTATCAAATTCTAACTGGAACTGAATGTAGGCGGGGCGTGCAGCTAGAAATGTCGACGGCATTTACTTGGGGATTACGGTGTTGCACAGCCGCGAGCGACATTGTATAAAAATGTTTGGTGTAATTGATTTTAATTACATTTAATTGCACTGATATTTTAAGGATTTATTTCAGCGTTCGAGGGTTTTACTAGATTCGGCGTGCCGATAAATCAATAAACATTAAAAATAAATAACACAGAATTATTATGTTAGCGGTTTTTGCAACGCCCTTAGGTACATTTGTCTCTTCGTTGGCATTCTAGCTTCCCGATTACCACCAAATCTACTTGATTTTATTTCGGAACTAGAAAACTTATAAGTTATGGATATTCCGGTACGTTTTGGGAATGGGTAATTATTGGTTGCGCAGAACGTGCATGTTGCCAGGTGGAACATAACGACGTAACCGCGTTGTTATAGACATCGCTTTTAGGCGGTGTCCATATGTAGTGTATAATAAAGAAATGTTTTTTTTTTTGTAATCAAAGTTTTGTTAATAAATATTGATTCATTGTTGCGACTTTGATTTCCATTTTTGTCTAGTAGCCGTTTGATTTTCTCAAAACCCCATAATACTCTACATCCCGCAACAAAAAAAAAAGAGAGCTATAATTTTTCCATTTCAAGTGTTGTCATATTACTTAGCGTGCCTCCGATACGATACTGACAACGATTATAAATGTTCATATATAAAGGTAATTAATAACTCAAATAGTTAGGTTTAGGGGCATTTTGTTTGGTTTTTCTAGGGACAAAGGTAATATATAACTTGGAAATATAATAGTATATTTAAAACCTAGTACGAAATAAATTACAAACAAAAAGTGGCGGATGTGGAAGTAATTGCGTCGTATATAAATGTATTATTCAAAGGTTTATACTGATGGGTGATGACTTTAATTACTTCCTGTGCCGCGCAGCCTCCCAATATTGAAGAGATTGAATGCAACTCGGCACCTCCGTATCTGCATACCTCGTGAACCCTCTCGTCACGCAAAATGTGAGAAAAACCCCATTCGGTCAGCAGTTTTCCGATGATACCTTTTAATTTCAACAAGTCGGGCTCAACCTGATCGTCTAATTGGCCCGGGTACGAGTTAAATTCGCTTATGAACCTCTCGAGTCCGCGCAAGATCACGTAATAAAACATGAGACTGTCTGGATCTTCCAGGTACGACGATAAGTCGAAACTGCTTTTCTGGTACTCGTCCGCTATGCAACTGCCTCTGATTACGTGTAATTCGCTAGAATGCTTGCAGAAATACTTGACCTGAAAACATACGTACAGGCAATTTTCACAATCATTTCAGAGCATTTGCATTTTTTGCTAAATGAAAATATTGAAAGTTGAACATATTTTCTCTATCGTTAATAAAATTTTGAAAATTAAACTTTAACTCCATGTATTTCGTTAATTGGCTATCCATTATAAACTATCCTGTACAGAAGAAGGCTAATATGCTGAACGTCCACAGTAAATAGTTTTTTGGCAGAAAAAATTACCTCGCTTTCCGTGACCGTGTCCTGTGGCAATCCCAAATTCCTGGCGATCTGAGCAGCTCTTCTATATATCGCTTCAGATTGTTTAAGCGCCTGCTTCTGATAGATATTTTGTAAAGTCACATAGCTTATAGTATCTGCGGCCATGTCAGGCAACGTTCCCTTCACTGGCAAATCGCCCTCGGTTTGAACCATTTCTCTCAGCGCGGCCGCCATTACCCAGAACGGTGAACTGTTCTGGGTTAAATTAATGCAGCTCTCGTCGTCTAAAATTTGTTGCACGTGGTCCGGTATTTTGCGCTGACTTGAGAACGAATTCGCGTAGTGGACAGCCTGTTCGAAGTTCTCCTCCAGCAGAAACCGGTTGCTGCTCTCTTCTGAACTTCCGCTATCCCGGATCAATTGTTTCAACTCCTCTTTGTCAGCTCTTTAAATGGATAACAGTAATCAGCTAGTTTGTTAGTTTGTAATTTAAAAAATAACTTCAACAGGTTGCACTTGCAGTGATTCTAGGAAGAGGTTTCATCAACCTTCAATGCACGTACAACTAAAGCAAAATAAAAGTAAACATTTTTGTGTGAAAGGTGGAAAAAGGAAAAGTGTGGGAAAAATCACCCATTGAAGTTTTTATTTTTAAACAATATATGGATTTATTACTAAAGACTACAGCGACGCTATTGCTTCTTGGGAGAAACAAACTGCTTCTGTCTCTCGGATGTGTACATTATTTTTTGTACTTTATCAGAAGTGTGGTTGATACATATACTTACGAAACTAAAGCAAGGCGAGTTGACAAGCTTTTCCTCTGCCCAGGAAACAATGACGCCACTGTACCCTTTACTAATAATTTCGATTTACAGTGACTAACCTTTTTTGAGGAAAATCTCCATTGTGTTTTTCTTTATACCTCTTTAAATAGAAATGCAAAATTACCAACGGTGGTACGTGGCTTCTCTCCTTTTGATCAAGGTCCTCGATGTTGACCGCATCGAGGTAATCCCTAAGGGCGGGCCATGGTGCGTCCAGGCGCAAGTCCGGGCTCTCGCTGTCAGGATGGGCCTCAATAACAGTGTGCTCCTTCACTTGAAGCCTGATATAGCCTAAAAACCCTAAACTACGGCACACCATCAATGGTACTTCACAGTCCCAAAGGTGTCTTGATAGAGGCATCAAAACTCTAAAAAAAAAATGGATCTCTATGTATATACTATAGTATGACCTACAAACCAAAATACCTAACGCACTTCGTTACTGCTTCTATTCATTAACTAAAATTTATTTGAATGACTTCATGTTAAACTAATAACACTTGGGCAAAGCAGGTAATTCCTTTGATTCTTACATACAATTATGATTTGGATAATTCAGAGTTGCAATTTGTTGAATTTGATTTTAATATTTATTAAAAATTATAGAGCAGAATCTAGTGGCGTGACCGATCAACTTTTACGTAAATAAGGAAAAATAATCGTATAAATTTACACTTTATTAAAAACAAATTTTGAAACAAGTTCCAACAAAACATTCTTACAAACAGGACATTATAAAAGTAAAGAAATGGGTTAAATGCTTTTCTGCAACCATTATGTGATATTGCACAAACTGAAAATTTAAACTTTAATCATAAACAATTAAAACCTAAGCAGACGCTTGTTTTTTCTTCAGTGATTCCAGGTAAATGCCAAGTCTTTTTTGTAGATCTTCATTGGTCACAGCCGTAATAAACAAATTCAAATCAGTTTCTCGGTTTCTAATCATAACCTTTAGATCTTCTTCCCTAAACATCTGCTTTGACAATGCCCTCGCTATGGGAGATATTTTGGAAAACTGGCTCAAAAATGAAGTAGCCCTCTCGATTCCTTCTTGTTTATTGATAACAACTTCATCAACCAGGCCTAATTTGTGGGCCTCATCTGTATTGAAAAGCCTTCCCAAAGTCAGTGCCATTTCTGTTTGCCTTATTCCAATCACATTCTTCATGGCCATCATAAACCACTTTGGAGCAATCATTCCCAGTTGACTTTCATTCAAACCAATTGTAAAACCTTTCTGCATCACTCTATATTCACAACTAGTTGCTAACAAGCAACCTCCAGCGGGCGAGTGGCCATTTATAACAGCAACAGTTGGATAGGGAGACCCATACAATTTAATGAAAACATCTTGCAAAGTTAGCCAAAATTTTTTCGCTCTATTAGGATCTGGTTTATACATTTCCATAATATCCAATCCAGCCGAAAATACAGTGCTATATGAAGACGTTAAAATAGCGCCACGACACTTGTTACTCTCTAATTCGGTAAGAGTAGTCAGAAAATCACTTAACAAATCTAAATTTAAACTGTTCACAGGAGGTCTCTGTAAACTTACTGTCGCTATGCCGTTTTGATCGTTTATTTCTAATCCTACTAATTTTGAAGAGGAACTCAAACATCTGGAAAAATTGTTCATAACAAAGGGCTTGTACAAGAATTTTAAAGCTAATGTAGCCATTTTAAAGGCTTCAAAAAGATAGAAAACACTTGGAAATTCCTATATATATTTGCAAATTTTAGTACTTAGTACTTAAAGTCCAAAAAAGTTCAAAGTTCAAATTGCACAATTCAAAGGACATTACTTAAGATAAAACGCAATTGAAATGAAACATACAATGGGGCATAAGAAACATAAAGAAAAATATTGTGCGATAGAAGCTGTTAAATTTCAAGTTACGCTTCTGCGATTTTTTTGCTTCCGATAAAAACTTTAAATGCAATTTGTTAACGTAAAAATTATCTCATTTTTAACACTTGGGAGAGATAAAATAATAGAACCACAGAAACTATTTCAAGCGATATTAAAGATGGTACCGTGAATACCAAAAAAAGAAGACAACCGTGAAGTTAGCTCCAACAAAAGACATGAAACAATTAGACGTCAGCATGTTGCCAAAAAGAAACGTAACCTATTTGGCGTCGGTTATGTGGTAAAACTAAAGATTCAGAGAATACCGGCTTCGATCGAGTTCATATCAGATGAGACTGAACAAAAAAATTAAAAATACATAAATGAAGTAATATATATAAATAAAGCATAAATAATTGAAAACGGTATTGTAAAAAAAATTAAAGTTACATACTTTTCGGGTAAGGCAACCGCTATTACCACGTCGAAATTCTTGAAAAAGTTTTGAGTGTGCGCCATAATATGTTCAGCAGATTCATCAATGTAATCACCTCTAACATCTGGATTTAACTCAAGCAAGCACTGTGTAGCAACTTGAGCCCTCGATGAGCCCACTGTTTCATTTTCTAAAAAGAAACTGCAAAAAAATCTTTGTTATTAATCGTCCTTATCTACACTTAATAGTTACTTTGATCCAATATCTTCTTCAGTGATTTTCTCCCCATCGACGACCGTAAATGAACCAATACCTGGTAGAACTAGACTTTTCAAAATTTCCGTTCCCAAAGCGGTTGCATTAATTAAGCATACTTTCGAGTTCTCTAAGAGCTTTTGACCGTGGTCACCCCACAGCCTTGGTGTTAGAAATATGATTCAGTTACCTTTACAGATATATTTGAATTTATAATACCTAAGTTGGCGATCGTATTTTCGGCTTTTGTCACTTTGTTCTGGCGATTTTGGGGCCGGCGATGACATAATTGCATTCAGCGACGTTGTTAAATTTGTTTCAATAAATAATTTTGAACTCTAATATTTTTGGGTATTATAGGTAAGGGTTAAGAACAGTTTCTTCTTCTTGGACGTCTCAGCTGATTGCAAAATAAGATTGATAGCTCAATCATGGGAAAAGAAGAATCGGTTTCAAACGGTAATATGATGTCAATTGCATTGGCGGAAGTTTTGGCGCAAATATTATTCACAGATAATTTTAAATTTGAATATTGAGCGTTAATTAAAATAAATTTTTTGTTTCCTCTTTGTTTTTAAGACTGAATAGACAATCGCCAAAACTTGGACTTTGTAGACAAGTGTTTAGAAACACTAGTCAAAATAATAAAACTACATTTTATTAAAACAAACCATTGAGAAATTATATAATAAAATAATAACGAAAAAAGACTTCCCGACTATATCTTCATATAAAATATTTTTACCGTGGTGAAGAGCATATACGATCCTTATATATACTTATTTTCTTTATTTACCTGTAATACAGGTTTGCAGTAGATATTTCGCATCCAAATAAATCTCAAAATAAGGTAAAGGACGGTTGTCTCCTTAAATAGTTGACTCGATTACAGAGAGTGAACGCCACTGTTTCATTTTTTAAATAGAACAGAAACTTGATTTGTTATTTAAACAACAAAATGGAAAAAGAACACCATGCGCCGCGTATTAAAGAAGCATAACCGAGCAGCAGCAGTCAGGGAATATTTCTAAAATATCATGAAGCTGTAAGTTTATATTATAGCCGTAAGGAATTTATTTAATTTTTTTTACTACTTAGCGAATCAGAAATCAGATTCCACGTGAGCGGTCAAGAATTTGCTGGTAAGTTAACAATCATTGTCTTTTAATGTTAGTGATTTTGGTTCGACGTAGACATAATAATTTTACTTTAAATGATGTACTTAAATACATAGATAGATAAATATATAGCTATATAGATATACAGATAGACATAGATACATAGATAAATATTGAGCATCTTTTCTGCGGCAAAAGTGAGTGAATTTTTATAAAATCATATTTTCCACAACAGACCGACATGGATGTTAGAGGAAATATAAACTGAATATATTTTTCCTGATGCCTACGACTATGAGAGTCCAATCCGCTCATACGCAGATAACGCGAATAGTTATGCGTTTATTGGCATGTCGTATAGGGCGTAAAAGGTTATCGCATTATTTATCAAAATATTGTTGCCAATACGGAAGCAAAATGCGTGTATTCACTTAATTCTAAACTGGTTTAAACCTCTTAAATGGGTGTAGGTCAGGTCCGACTCCGCCACTGGATGTTAAAACGTTTTTGTAGGCAAATACATTAAATTTTTTTTAAATTAATTTAAAAATTATTTTAAAATTTTAAATAAAAAACTGTTAACTCAAATGAAGAACTGATTAACCAAAATAAAGTTTGTGTTATTTTTGAACTAAAATATTTTCAGGGGTTGCGTCAACTCTAGAAAAGAATAAGGTTCACAAGGTGTACCAAATTAAGTGAGCGGTATTGCTAACTAATTATTAAACATGCGAAGGTGGATAAATTAGCAAAGTAAATATTGTAAAGGAATATATATTCTATAGAAGATTTGCAAAAAAATTAGAGATATAAATAAAAAAAAATTGTTTTTCTGATTTATTGGAAAATGAGCTATAACAATAAAAAAGTTCTCAATATAGTTTGTTTTCCTTGAATATTGGTCAGTTATTATTATATAAATACCACCCTACAGAAAAACACCATATTTAATTAATTATGTGGCCCAGATAGTACGGATGTGATTCCATTTCGAGTCTTATTAGAAAATGGTTCTTTTTAGTAAAATCAAGTGACGTTACACCGCAAACTACCCTCAATACTTATCTGAGAGACATACTTCACTTAACGGGAACGAAGAAGATGTGTGTCGAAGGTGGTTGCGGCGTCTGTATCGTAGCCGTCGAGGAATTACAAGCTGACGGTACCAAGAAAATTTTCGCAGTTAATTCTGTGAGTATTCCGCAAGTTAATCAAGAAAGAATTATATATATTATGGTGTCGTTATTCTGAGCGAATACATTTGTAGTTACCCATCAGTTTTTCTACTATATTGAATTAATTGAATTGATTTGATTTATTGACATATACATTCTAAGCAGTACCTAAAACCAAATTTTTAAATGTTTACATGTTTGCCACTAAATAACGTCTTTTGGCAAACCTAAGTTAATGAAAACATTAAAAAAAACTGAGTTCTAATGCACTTGTTATATTAAAAAATCAATTAAATACATTAACAGTTATAGAAAAAAGTAATGATCCTGACGTTTAAGAAATATGCAATTGCATTTATTATTTCGATCGGGGCGAATTTTTACATTCTCATAGTGCAGTACTCTCCTCCAGTGTCTAGTTTCCATTTATTCGTGCCACGGGTGGAAAATAATAACGACGGAAGGCATAGGAAACCCTATAATCGGATATCACAAAATACAAAAGTTATTGGCCGTCAATAACGGATCGCAGTGTGGGTAAGTAATACTTACGTTCGTTTGTTTTCCTAATCCCAAGACAATTTAAATACAGTCAAACTTCGATAACTCGAATTTTTGATAAGTCGAACCAAACTGGTTGGCAATAGCGTCAAAAGTAGGAAATGCGTGTTAGTTTGTCTTGATTACTGGAACTTCGATTTCTCGAATATCTTGATAACTCGAACGAAACATTTGGTGCCAACTTCGATAAGTCGAATTTTCGCGGGGAACCCCCTAATTACGACCGATCTTAACCTGCCTTTTTAACGTATCTATGCAAGCAGTTCAGTTTCTGTGCTTGCTAAGTTCACTTGTATGACTTACTAGTTAATACTAAGTAAAAATACTGTCCCTATTCAATTTACACATTATATTAAAGACATTTTTGGATTTTTGCATTTGTTGATATGTCATCAAAACGTACTTTAAAAGCTTTGTCTGTTGATCAAAAATTCAAGGTTATAAAAGAAGTGGAAAGTGGCTCAAAAAATAAAGATGTAGCTGTGAAGTATGGGATTTCGGCAAGTACGGTGTCTACAATTTTGAAAAATAAACATTCTGTCATCACCGCAATGGAACGTTTCGAAGGAAACAAAAATAATAACACTACACTAATGGATTGTGTTGACGATGTAACTACCGCATGAAATATCGACGTTGAGCCTGAAACAATTTCCAATTGTTTTAAAAAAGCCGGTTTTGGTCAATATTCTGAATGGGAAGAAGAAGGTGAGATTCCCTTGATTTTCCTAAGTGAACGCCTGGAAGGAAAGAGTGAAGACGAAATCCAAATAGAAATCGAGTTTAAAGCTTGGACAAACATTAGAGGTATAGCAGAAGGTAGCACCATCAACGATTTTATACATGTGGATGAGGATATGTTACTTCAGAGTTTCCTACTGATGAAGATATTATCGAGTACTGCAGATCCGAACCGGTACAGTTAAACATCGAAGACGACTGCGAAAGTGACGCGATGGAGGAGGAATTGGAAGATGATTCTCAGCAACCACCTTCAAATGAATTGGTTGAAAATTTGTTGATTGTCTTGCGTTCCTATTTGAAAACCAGTGAATACACAACCGATTCCCTCTATGATTGTTTAAATAAAAATGAAGGTTTTGTTGAAAACCAAAATAAGAAATCTGGTCGTCAGTCACAAATAAGTGACTTTTTTCCAGTGAAAGAATAAACTTTAATATGTACATACATATGTATGTATATGTGGATACCTACTATCTTTATATATACTAGGTATATATACAATACATTTGTATGTGCATATAATGTAAATACATACATACATATGTACTACTAGTAACTGTAGTTTTTATTGACAACTCGAAGTCTTGATAACTCGAAATTTTCATGTGTCAAATCGCAGTTCGACTTATCGAAGTTCGACTGTATTTTTCAATCTTCGCATACTTTAGTATAGATAAATATGATTTAATACAGGTTGTTAGAAAATACGATGCTAAACGTTCGGAGTCGATTGATTGCCTGATTTTAGGACAGACGGTTCACTTTTTTAAATATTTTTATATTCAGTACCTCAAAAATATACGGTAACCAATATTTTCATAGAAAAATGTGTATGTTTTATATGATTAAGCAATTAAAAGCACAACATATTTGTTTCTTGGGTTTTTCTAGTATCCTGCTGATATTTTGATGACTAAAAGTTTGACTACATATATTCTTCTAGTACAGCATAAGTCTCGAATCTAAATTCACGACATTAGAAAAAAGTAATAAAATATAACGAAATTTCAGTACAAAAATTAAATACGCTGAAAAATAGGTCATAATGTTTGAATTAACTCGAATTTAAGCAAAACAAAATTCAGTTGTGAATGGAGGGTTTTCAATTCCTCCCTGTATTCCTTCATACTGTACAACAGAATTCCTCTGTTGTTACTATAGTATAATTTTCTGGGTTCGCGTCATTGTGTTTTATAGACTCCTTTGGGTTAGTTATGGAGTTTTTTAACGTAGGGAATTTATTAGTCGAAATCCATACAAAATAATCCCTATAGGTTTTGCTCAACGGGTATGGTCATGAATATGTACGCTTACCACGAATCAGGCCCGAGGACTCAACAGGACATCGAAAACGCATTCGGAGGCAACATTTGTAGATGTACTGGCTACAGGCCGATTTTAACCGCATTTAAACAACTGGCTATCGATGCTGGTAATTCGCGAAACAAATCGAATCTTAAGGAGCTGCAACTCTGGCGTATTTTTCAGACGGCAAAAGAAATCAATTCGAAGTTATCGACATAGAAGACGTGAAGAAGTGTAAAATATCCGAATGTAAGCGGTGTTACAAATCGCCGATCTACTTTGAGCTGGGCGCCAATTCTCAATGGATGAAAGTGTATTACGTCAAAGACCTGTTGCAAGTGCTGCGCACGATTGGTAATAAGACGTATCAGCTTGTTTGTGGAAATACTGCCAGAGGTAGCTACAATGTTTACACATGTTTTCCCTTAAATTTAGTAAGGCTTTGCAGCAAATATACAAACTCAAAGGTACTAAATTCAAAGTGCACTTTTTATTCATTGCATCTATAGTCTATTTCAGAAAGATGTAGAGTAGTTAAACCTTATTAAGTTTGCAAAGAACCCACAGAGTGATCCAAGGATTACTTGAATCACTTTCATTGTTTGGCATCGACTTCATTGTAATTTTTTTTCTACCGAATGCACGTACTACCACCATATTTTTCGATCCGATCCATTACGTAGTGCAACATTTTCTCCTCTTCTTTAATAACTTGCTTTACTGCTTCTCGCCATGTGTGGTGTTACTTCTTCAATGGCTTGATCAAACGGTAAATTAAGGTCATGTTGTATCTTACTAGAAATCCTTTTACTCATATAGCTGCGTGCTCAGCATAGTTACACCATTTTTTTTTCGGCTTTATCTTCCATGGGGTACTTTATATGACGATATTTTTGTAAATTTGTTTATCAAATTTTACAAAATCGGAAAACTGAAAACCTGCCTCTTCTCTTTTTCTGAAGGTACCTTAGCACCCATTGCCTATGGGCCGAATTTCCTATTTTAGTATTCTATACTCTCTGAAATAGCCACCAACTGCGAAAAAAGGCAAATGCAAACCGTCTTTGCGTAACCTTTCGACACATCTATACAAGATGACTTGCTTGTTTTACGCATAAGCATATATATTTTTTAAGTTTCAAAATAATTTTGTTCTTACTTCAGCTAAATGAAGTAAGAATAGAGCATTTTTTAATGTTGGAAAATAATGTCAGCCAAGTGTGGCTCTTGTTCGTGGTCGCACTCTGACGACTCTTAAAATCATGTCGTCTGGTATTCTCTCGCCATGAGAGCTATGTGCAAAGAGTACGCTAAGAAATGCTACCACTATACAGAAACTGAAAATTGTCATTTTTCAACAGGGAGGTGTATCAACCTCAGACGGCTCTGACATTTTCGTTCAGGTCTTCCGTGTATTCACCTAAGTTGCTCTATTTTCGTTCGAAACAATGATCTCAACACAGTTGACTCGATTTTTCCATAGAAATTTAATGGGATCTGAGAATATTTCGACAAAATACAATGAATTGTTCAGCGACCACATTGATTGGAGAACGCGTCAAGGTCTTATTGAAGTGACAGATTTCATTGGTTGAAAACGAAAATTGAAATGATTAGTTCATAGTTCCTTCTCAACATTTTTCGATGTTGACTTCAAAAGCGTTATCAGTAGTTAGTTATCTAGTAGATATATGCTGAAAAGCAATAGAGATATATAGAACCAACAACCGATGCAATTGCCTTGGGAAGACATAAATTTTCTCTCAAAGTTAACTAATCAACCCTAACAAACATTAGTATTTAAACAATAATTTACAACGAATGGTTGTATTGAAATGTTCGCTCTTTCCACTAAACCTGTGCATAATGACTAAAATGATTTTTGCAATATCAACTTTTTTGTAACCTGAGTGTATATCGATGGTCCTTGTCCACGTCAGCTGCGACCAAGGAGTAACTAACAAAGCAAAGTAAAACGTTTTAAGGTGTTTATTGGCAACAAGAAGACGAAATTCCAGACGTCTATATCGACGTGTCTGGGGTGAGGGAGCTTGCTGGGTACTCCGCCGACACGGATACATTGGTGCTAGGGGGTAATTTTACTCTTACCAACACCATAGACTTATTTTTAAATTTATCTCGGACGAATATGAGATTTAGGCACTTGAGAAGGATGGCGGAACACATAGATCTTGTAGCGCACGTGCCAGTTCGAAACGTAAGACCACAAATGACGTTCGGTAAAGTACGACTACAGTGAAATTCTTTTAGATTGGAAGTTTGGCAGGGAACTTGATGACGAAACATCTGCACAATGAATTCCCATCCGATATATTCCTCACTTTAGAGACTGTGAACGCAACTTTGGTCATCCGTAAGTACTTAAAGAAATCCGGAAAAAATACACCCCATATGTTATTACATTTTTGGAATTACCAGAAAATTCTACTTGTCCTATACTGGTATCTAATCGTTTTTGACGTATTGCGAATATTAATGTCAAAAATTACATTTACTGGTTTGAACACTGCCAATGTAATCTATATGGCAGCCTACATTAAGTATTTGTCGGGGATGAACTTTTTGAAGAAGGGAAACGTGCTGAAGTTTGGATGATTAATAAATATAGTTTGTTCACAAACTATTGTTACAAATGTAAAATGACTTGTTTGAGATGGTCTATCATGAAAATGTATAGTTCTTGTAAAAAAAAAACTTTTACGCCCAATTAATCAGAATTAACCATGACGGTCTAGGAATGGAACACATATCTTTTGTTTATTAAATGTGTAATAACGTCACTACAAACGTACACTTACTTAACTTTAACAGTAAAAATCGGCTCACTGCAAATGTACCTTTAAAATAAATAAAACCAATAAAATCAAATATCTTTTGTCACTTTGGAATCAAATTTAGGATGACAGGAGCATTATCGATTCTTTCTCTAATAGAATTAGAAAATTAATCTATAACTTAGACAAGTTATGACTATAAACATTTTAAAAAGTGTATCTACGGTGCGTTTTTTGAATCAATATTTAACTGCTGCATCATTGTATGGGATGTACTGAATAAAATTTTAATTGAACTTTTGGTAGTTACTGAAAAATATGTTTGAATAAAAACAAAAAAAATTTTTATATACTTTTCCTTTTCTAATCATCTCACAGGTTACTAAATTTAGGGCCATACGCGGCAATTGCAAGTAAAAAAATATCAATATTTCCAAAAGTATAAATACACAAAGTTACCCTAATTTTCAATTTGTAACAACATAAGAATACAAAGTATTTCAAAATTATTGAGCGTAAGGCCTTGAGGTGCTTCTGTCAGACCTTAGGTTTTTGCTGTGTGAATTAGGTTTAAATAATTTATTGCAACAAAGTATTATTGGATTAAACAATCTCAAAATACAAAATTATCTTTCTTGGAGCCAGCATATTGACTTGATTAAAACTCAATAGAGAGTCCGTTTTGTTAAGTTCTCTAAAAAACGCTGTCCCTACCAAGGCGATGTATACTAAGCTTTTATTTTCTCAACAATCTCCAATAACTTTGTTTGCACAAAGCAGAATCCACCGACTTCCTGTTGACCGTCCTTATAATGTTGACTGACTACCTTTAAAAACACAAAATACTCATCTAGATATCATTTTTTTTTGCTTAATAGTTGTAAAGTTGATGAAGTTTTTTATATATGTACCACAAGAAATAGAAATAATTTCTCCATGCAGCAGCGATATAGTTATGATTATTTTAAACAATCCGCCGTTTTTGCGGATTTTCGTCTCTACAATCCTTTTCCAGAGAAGTTAACACATTCGAAAAACACCTAAAGACATGGCACAATCATTTACCTGAAAACCAAATAAAGGATATAACATTAATAGAAAAAGAATGGAACACTGTTTTTTTTCTTTGGTTTTAATTAATTTGTATTTTTTATGAAGTGTTCCTTTCTACTCTGTTTTGTAGTGCTCGGAAGTGCAAGAATTGTAAAGAGTACAAAATTTTCCTAAAATACAGTATTATCGTTTTAGTTGACGCCGAGGAAAACGAAATCAGAGCCACTCCCGCCGAATTTTTAAACTTGGACATGAACAAAAAGATTATTAGAGAGATCGTTTTGGTCGGATACGACGAGTCGTATTACTACCAGAGTTACAAGGTATACCGTTTCCGAGAGACTAACCCGTATCCCGAAATTGTCCTCTATTCCAGATAATGCCGAGAGCTCAAAACGCCCACGCCCAAGTGAATGCCGGATTTCTGTTCCGACTAAACGGACAATACGTGGTGCAATCCGCGAGAATCGTCTTCGGAGCCATCAACCCCCAATTCATCCACGCCAGCGCTACAGAGCGATTCCTCCAAGGACAAGTGCTTTTTGATAACACTGTTCTGCAGAGGGCGTATCAGTCGCTAGAGAACGAGATAAACCCCGACTGGGTTCAGCCAGATCCTAGTCCGCCATTTAGGAGACTATTGGCCATTAGTCTTTTCTATAAGGTACTGACCAATTTATTTTTGCTCCAGCTGATATTTATACAGGGTATTTTATAATTGGAGGTTATTTATGGGATCATTTAGTAAGTAATACCTGCCATTATATACAGGATCTTAAAAAATGATCGGCAATATTTAAGGGGTGATTCCTCAGATCATTTTATAAAAAAGTTCCCATAAATGTAGATTCCGAAACATATTGTTTCCAATATACAGAGTGTTAAAGATTTTTTAAAAACTTTATAAAATTTATTGATAAAAATGTACGCCACTGATTTTAATTTAATTTCGATACTTCCCGGATATAGAGCAACTAAAAGTACAACTTTTTTATCTTTTAAAATTTTTCTCTTGTATTGCTTCTGAGGAATCACCTCTTAAATATTTCCTGTTCTTTTTGAAACACACTCTATTGCAAAAAGATATTTTTTCACGGCATTAAATCGTCAAACAAGAACCTAATAGCCCATGAATATTTTTATCCTAACGTAAAATATAAAGTGAGGATATTAAAGTTAAAAAAAGTTAAATTATCTTATTAAAAACGCTAATTCTAGTCCATAGGTATCATCAAAAATCATAAAAAATGTTTGTCCTAAGGGCTTACGAATTATCTCGCAGTTGGCTACTTTTTGAATTTTCTATCCAAAAGCCAGCATTTATTCTTTCCCCAGAATCCATCCATCGATATTAGAACTCATATATTACGAGTTTGTAGCGCAAAAGTGGAAAGGAAATATAGGACAAGATAACTCGTAGTTATTTTGGTTTGTGATTTATCTTTATTATTTTTATTATTTACAATACGTAAAAAAAGCTGAGCAAATCTAATCTTACCCTGATTTCAATTATTACATTTGTTCAACTAACTAAAACTTATCAATTATTAATAAGCATGTTTTCTGTACTACATTTATTCTTATCTCTTAAAATAAAAAAACCTTCTGAAAACTTTTTTTGGGTCCCATCGAGGGGTAAGCCGCAGGTGGAAAAGGGTACACGGTAATTAATTACTTATAATACGTTGGAATTCCTTGTAATTCTTCGCGGAATTCCTTTAGTACTATAAACCAGAATTCCTGTGCTGCTTTATTGTCATTTCAGCATGTGACGTTTGACACATGCGATCATATGAAGATTTCTTCTTTAAATATACCAGCTTAAATATTTTGTATACTGCAAGCGGTCCCAAGTAAGGATCAATTCCTTTTTCTTAAATAGAACACAATATGAAAGTATCTTTGAACTTTGGACGCGCTGCTGTTAATCTTAAATTATCATAATTCAAGCACTTTTGAGAGTTTAAAAATTACAATAGAACTTCTGCGTTTAATTAGTAACTAGATACTTAGAAACAACACTCATTATATTACAAAAAAATGTTTAGTAAAGTCTGTTTTCTTGTTTTCCCTGTAAAACTTAAATTTTAAAGGTAATATAATTTTGTTTCAGCTGTAATTAAGTATTATAAAGTTATAAGGAACTCTTGATGAACTGTTAATAAATTTCAATATTCAGGGAGACCATAAAATATAAAAACTGACGTCACATCAGACAAATTTTATATTAACACTTTCTAAGGGGATACCAAGATCACTTTTAATAGATTTGGCTTTTTTTGTACATTCTTAGCATACCCCTTTTGTTTTCAGTGCATTTTGAGTATTGCCCCCGATAATCTTCTATCGGCGAGGCACAAAACTGGAGGACAGGAAATCTTTAGACCAGTTTCCAGCGCCTTTCAAACGATTAACAGCGATCAGAGTCTCTACCCCTTGACGCAGCCCGTCACGAAGGTCGAGGCCTTGGCTCAAACGTCGGGTTCGTGCCCGATGTCAAATTAATATGTAGAATTTTTTAAAAACTACCACCATTAGGTCAAGCTCAGTACATCCTTGACATTCCCGATCAGCCGGGGCAGCTCCACGCCGTGTTGGTCCAAGCAAGGGCAACCCCCGGTTCTACCATTACGAAAATCGATACCACAGCAGCCCTTAAAGTTTCCGGCATGGTTGCCTTCTTTTCCGCCAAGGATATTCCCGGTATCAACTCAATTAAGGTGCCTGCCATAGTTCAGATGGTCTACGACGAGGAATTATTCTGCAGTGGCAGGGTACGTAATTTCCTGTGTTGATGTTCTTGATAAGTCTTTCTCGTTGTTGACTAAGAGACCTCAAACCTAACAACAAAGCAATTTAATCGATGTTGTTTGTGTGATTTATTTAAAAATGTAAAAATACTTTAGCACAGTATACGACGTATCCTCGTTATACTCTGCGAGAAGTGTAGGTATAATACGACCAAAAATATAGTGCATTGAAATTCTTATTTCAAACGTAAATGAACCGTTTTAAATTTGATGCTGCGGGAATTTTCGAAAAAGTAGAAGGGTTTATTTCAATATCAGGTGATAGGTATCGTTCTTGAGGGTTTAATCTAAATTGCAATATGTTCGTATATATTACGGAGGTATTTGACTGTGATCCTTCCAGTAAGTCGTATTTATGTACCTGATTCTCGAGCTTTGACCCTGCGAGGCTGTTTTCACTGGATAGTTCAAAGGGTAAGGGTAAGTAACTGTACTCTATTTATCTTACAGGTAATTTTGAAAATAATGATTTTTGACTTGTGTGCCTGTCGATTAACAACATTCTTCTTCTGTTATTTTTGTTCTTCGATTTGTAAACAACAACAGTGTTTTTTAAGACTTTAGATAATATTCGCGGTAGATAAAGATACGTAATAAGGATACAGATAAATATTTATTTAGAACCTTACAATTAAACATTTTTTGAAGGTTCCTGTTTTTTAACACTTTAAAATGTGGAGACCATGGAATGAAACAACGCAGAATTTTAAGACGAAGTGGAGATGTTAGTCGAACCTTCGGATGATAAACAAATTGTTTTGAATGTTTATAATTTTTTAAGAAATTCAGAGGAAGTAGGAACAGCAATAAAAACAAATGACGTGACCAAAGTTCCTAAGTCATCTGTAAGAAAAATTATTGCAAATGGGATATTCAAGAATTAGGCGTGAAACTACAACGCTTATAATGCGAATAATGTTTTAGCCCTAGAATTGCATAAAAAAGTACTGACTTAAACATTACTTGTGCCAAAAAGTCGTTGTATACTTTTTTGAAGAAAATGGCTTTTCAGTTCCAAACAATTAATAAACGTCAAGTGCTAATGGAATGATAGAATGTATTGAAATATAACGTAACAAATTGTTACTTTGTACTAATTTTTTTATGTACATGTTTCAAGAATTGTTCGGCGAAAAAAATTGAAAGCATACTTATATCCCGATTGTTAGTGTAGTTAGAAAAATTCCTAGGACGGTCATGGAATGGTTACGGGTAAGGGTCTGCGGTTTTGGAGTAATAAACAGTAGGCACAGTTAATCATGGGGTCGGTTGTTAAAGCACTACATTTCTGGTCGAAGTATACTAGATATTAAGTAAATTATAGCGTGCGACAAAAGCAAGTGGCTGGTTGACTCTCCTCAAATTTTATCCCTTTGGCCTAATTGCCATTTTAATAACACGAAAATATCAAAAAACACGTTTGATCTAAAAGATTTTATTCAAGAGATATTTCGAGTTATTGTATTAGACGCGTTATAATTTCTAGAGTATTTGGTGTAGCAAAACGATATTCGGTTTAGATACATCGTACATATTTTCCATTTTTCATTTTTATTTCTGGTTTCGCAGGAAAAAACTAAGATTTTAAATTAGTTAATTGAACACCCTGTATATTTTTGCATTTCTAGGACAATTCCGTTTTATGCCTACTTTTTTTAAAAACACTTTTAATATTGCATCTGGATAATGCAACAAAATAATAATCGCGAAGTGATTCGTATGGTAGGTAGAAACAGGAACAAGTTAGCAAAAATTTCTGTATTTAATAGTGAGCCTTTTTTTCGCGAATTTGCGGTACTACTTTATATGTGATTGGACCAAAACTAAAACCTCTTAAATTCAATATTAGCAAGTAAAATACTGGATGATAGTTCATTTACTTTTTTCAAGACGCCACGAATAGCCGCTATGCATGTTGTTTTGCAATTTGTTTCAGACATGCTTCATAGGCAGAAGAAAAAGTTTCAACATTTTCATAGAATTTCAGTATAATTTTTCATCAAAATAGGGTATGCTCAATGAAAAATTGGCTCAAAAGAAACCAAGAAACCCTACAAATTTTTAACATTTTCACATGCCGGTTCAGAATGTTCAGAGTGATCCATTTAAAAATTTGAAACCCAAACCGAAAAGTAAAAAATATTCTAACTGACCAAAGCTCTGTACTTTTTATATGATTTATCTGATCCAAATCTTAAGTTTAATATTCAATTCAATGTAGGTTATCCACTACCACCAACCGGTGGGGGTGATAGTGGCGGAGACGCACGATCTCGCTCTGCTGGGGGCGGGCTTGGTACGTGTCGAAGTGTCGCCACCTCCGCAAGGATCTACGCCCCTTATCAGCATTAGTGACGTCCTCAAAAATAACAGGAGGGACAGGATCAGGCATCAAACTTCGGTGGTAGCGAGATCGACAGGTGAAAATACAAACAAAATTGTCGGTTTTCGAAAAAATTTGTATAAAACTGAAGTCTCTAAGTTTGAACAACTTTTTTTCTTACGAAGGTAAATTTTGAAGTTCGTTGCTCAAAACTTAATGGTGGATTTACCCAACTTATTCAAAAATTCCTCTTAGTTTTCATTTAAAACTTATATTTGGTAGAACCAATAATTATACGAGAATTATTCAATAAGTCCTCAGAAAAACCAATTTTTGCCAATAAGTTTAACTAGTCACCTACTAAACTTTCAGCTTTATCCTCACATGGTTTAATTGTTGTTGCCAATTGAAGTAAATAACTTTATTTTGATTAGAAAATTGATAAAAGAGAGTTTTGAGCAGCGAATAAACACTCAAATTTGAAAGCATTAACTCCGAAAGAAACCAAATTTGAACGAAGTTCATGGCCCATCTGCTCCTGTGTAGGCAACTGTTTGCAAATGGGTGGATGAGTTTAAAGGCGGTCGTACATTCACAAAAAATGCAGATCAGGACGCCCTGTGGAAAAGTGTCTACACCCGAAGTGATTGACAAAATCCAAAATATATTTTTAAGTGATTGACGAATTAAAGTGCGCAAAATTCGAGAATAAACGCAATCGTTCGACTCAGGGGCTATTTTGGTTAGTTTTGGTTACAAAGAAATAAAGGAAAAACTTTCTGTTTCACCAAGGTAATGCACGGGTGAACACCTGATCAGTTGCGATGATCAAAATGATTAAACTAACGTTCCAAAGTTCCAATTTTCATAATATTGGACAAACATTTACATCTAACGAGAAAGCAATAGACCAAAATTAAATTATCTAGAAAAATGCACAAAAAAATAGGTTTTTCTGCTTTATTGAACGATCCTCGCATTTATTTAGGTTTAAATTTTCTACATTTAGAAAATTTACTCAAAATGATAAGAAAAAGAACAATGATATTTTCATGTTAATCATCTAAGCACTGATTAAAGTTATAAGATCGTTATTTATGTAGGAAAAGACATCAAAACTACAGTAACGGGTCAAGTCAATCTCCTCGGTCAGTATCATTATCATATGGAAACACAAAATTGTCAAGTAATACCTACTGAAGATGGTTTCGATGTGTACGCGGGCACCCAATGGATGGATCACATTCAAGGAGTTATCGCCCAAGTTTTAAATATTCCTTCTCAAACGTAAGTGTTTTAATGCATTTATATATGTATATATATATATATATATATATATATATATATATATATATATATATATATATATATATATATATATATATATATTTTATTTTATTTTTTTTTCACGTATTGATTCACGGATGGAAAAATGTGATGACACTATATTCCGGGATATCATCCGTTCACTCGTTGAACTGCGACTGGAATCCTGCAGACGTTTCGCCAAAATCTCACTTGGCGCCTTCAATGCTCGCGCTCCGAAAACAGTGTGAGTGTTCGAAGTGTTTTCGGAGCGCGAGCATTGAAGATGCCAAGTGAGATTTTGGCGAAACGTCTGCAGGATTCCAGTTGGAGTTCAACGAGCGAACGGATGATATCCCGGAATATAGTGTCATCATATATATATATATATATATATATATATATATATATATATATATATATATATATATATATATATATATATATATATATATATATATATATATATATATATATATATATATATATATATATATATATATATATATATATATATATATATATATATATATATATATATATATATATATATATATATTTGTCAAAATTCTAACCTAAATTACTTATTTTATATATATATATATATATATATATATATATATATATATATATATATATATATATATATATATATATATATATATATATATATATATATATATATATATATATATATATATATATATATATATATATATATAAAATAAGTAATTTAGGTTAGAATTTTGACAAATGAAAAATATGAAAAAAAATATCCTGTTGCGTTCTTCTCGTTCTTTGACTATAAGGTTATACCAGCTTGGTGATAGCAGAGTCGGTTGATCTACCCTCCCCGCATTTCTGAACAAAGTAAAGATTTAAATATCAAAATGTTTGTTAATTTTTATTTTTCTAATACTGATTCAATGATTTTTGATATACAAGGTTGTCTGTTTCCTCGAATTTTGTGTATTACATCGATACCCGTTTTTAAGAATAAGCGTTTTCGTGAAACGATTGGGAGGCGCCTTCGGCGCGAAAATCACCAGGAACGGCTTCATCAGCGGGGCGGCGGCCCTGGCGGCTTCCAAGTTACGTCGTCCGGTGCGTCTATGGATGAGCTTCAGCTCGAACATGGACATCATCGGCAAACGATTTCCGTTTCTCTGCGACTACACCGTTGCAGTAAACGCGGCCGGTGTTATTCAAACAATGAAGGTAACACGGAGACCTCCGATATTTCGCAATTTAAACTGTTTTCCTAGGCGGACCTTTATTCCGACTACAGCACCGGAGGGAACGAACCTGTCGACAATTTAGTCGTAGAAATGTTTCAAAATGTATACAAAATCGACACCTGGAACTACGACACCTACATCGTTGGCACAGACACCGCGGCTAACTGCTACATGAGAGCTCCAGGTTAGTTTTTCTATACAGGATGTTTGGAAACTTAACCGACTTTTTGCTATTTTAAGTTGCAAACCTAGAAACAGCGGAGTGAATACCTGGTGCTTAATTTATCTTCGTAACTTTACCTTTTTTATTTTCTTAACTCGATTTCTCAGAATAATTAACGAGATCTGTGCATGTTTTGAGAAAATGCTGTAGTTAAAATGCATCTAAACTGAAGCCTGTCTAATTGACGAACTGTCGGCGGTCATGTTGGTTGTTGAAATGACCGCGCGTGCGTATATTGAATGGCCCTTTCCGACACTGCTTTTCATCGTGACTTCGTTATCAGCAGATACAGAGGCAAAATGTATGGTTAGCCCACATTATATCAAAAACAAGAGTGTTAATAAATTGCAAATGATATTGAACAACTTTAAGAGACAATATAAAATATTGATAAAAAACTTAATTGGAAAACACAATATGAATATCAATACTTAGAGTAAATTCTTAAAGCAGACAATTCAAATCAGTTCCAAACTTTGAACAGATAATTCAAAGTTGCAATGCAATGGTGCCTGTTCGGGGGTTCGGCAACCCTCGCTGAGGATGTTGTTGTTGCTAAAAAAGGTGTACCTTGTATTTACTTCTCTTGCAGGAAAGCCAAAAACCCATAGATGTTGAAATTATTTGAAATCATTTAACATTTTAACTGTACCGTCTTTGTTTCAAGATTGTTAATTATTTTTGCCAAGCATGATAAACTTAAAAAAACTGTATATACATAATTTAAATACTATTAGTGATTTTAACCTACCTAGAAATATTTTGTAAATCTAAGTGAGCTTTCCGTTCTCCTCAAAATATAGGGCCCTAACATTTTAATAACTTTCCAAAAAATATAAAAACATATAGTAAAACATTAAAACATTTCCAAGTTATTTTGAAATATTTTTTATTAGAAAAATCTTTTTATCCTGTTAATTTATAACATAGGGGATTTTTTTTTGTTTTTTATTGCAATCCATATTTCAACAATCGAAAAATGACACAAAACTTAAAGCCTAAATAATTTAACTGAGATTTCGAAGCAACTAAATACGTTCTTATTTAAAAAACAGCCTGGAAAATACCAAAATCCGTTTTATCTTCAATACCCTATTCTTCCATTTATATAAACGAGGAAGGGAAAGACAACAATCCTCATTACTCGCTGTCTTTTTCTACTGTAAAATTTACTTCGCTTTTCCATCATGCCATTCGAGTTTAGATGGAGTTCACTAACCAAACATTTATTATTGTAGGGCCATAAATATATTTTTTTAATTCTTATCATTAGATTTGATGACGATTAATTTTATTCAAGCTACCTTATAATATGCTATAAAATTTAGCGAAGTCATTAAAAGTAAAACTCTGTATTTATAAATAAAAGAAATAAATGTAAAAAACAATATTATTCCTTTTGCTATGGCGGAGACTCTTTCTCCAAGGACAAAAGACCATACTTTTGATGTTTCATCTATCTTACTTGCCGTTTCGTTAGGCACCTTGGAGGCGATAGCAGGTATAGAGAGTATCATGGATCATATCGCCCTCCAACTCAATTTGGATCCTCTTGACGTCAGGCTGGCAAACTTGGACGCCCAAAACAATCCAATCATAGTACAATTCCTAAACGATGTGAGAAATAGGGACAACGTCGACGCGCGCAAGAGAGAGATCGCAAAGTTTAACGCTGTACGTAACAAATTAAAAACTATGGTCCCGATTTGAACTGAATTTTGGTGTGAAGGCTAACCGGTGGCGCAAAAAAGCGATATCGGTGGTACCGATGAGGTGGATAGTGGAAGTGCAAGCCCTCTACACAACTTACGTGTCCATTTACCATTTGGACGGTGGCGTTACAGTGAGTCACGGGGGAATTGAGATGGGTCAAGGGATCAACACTAAGGTAATCTCTGTTTGGAATTATAGTTTTTATAATCAAACCAAACAAACGTAAGTTAACAAAAATTTTAAACTGTTTTTATATCTACGCATTGTGTCCTTAAGATCACATGTTTTTTTTTTTCTCGAAAACAAAATTCTGAATCAATTACGTTCGTATTCTCAGCGTAGGCAGGGCCTCTATAGATATATCTAGTATCTATACGGCATAATTTATAAGAGCGTGATTTCGTCAGGACATTAAGATGAAAACATTTTAAGGAGCGTGTTAATTTGGGTGGTAATATCATAGTCAAAGACCTTGTCGGTTGTAATCTTACAAGGTCGCCGGTTCCAAATTTTTCCCCAGGTGGCCCAAGTGGCAGCATACAAGTTTGGCATTCCTATCGAGAAAGTAACGGTAAAACCTTCTTACAACCTCATCTCACCTAATTCGTATTCATCTGGAGCAAGTCTCACCTCCGAAGCCGTCGTTTTTGTAAGTCAATACATACGTTTATATCGCATAATGCTTTATGTATTCACCTGTACACAGTCTCTTCTGAAAGCTTGCGACATTTTGCTAGAAAGGATCCAACCAACTAGACAATTGAACCCCAACGCCACCTGGGAGCAACTGATCCAACTCTGTTACACTGGTAACGTCAATCTCAGCACCAACGGCTTGTAAGTATTGTGGGTGTTAGTATGGGTCTATTCTGGGTTGTATTATGACAATGTAAGCAATATTTATGCTAAGAGTAGTTGCAAATGAATTTTTTGGGTGTATTTTTATAACTCACAAATAATCAACTCGGACAATAAGTAAAGAAAATAGACATTTTTTAACAACCTTATTTTTAATTTAGGTTTAAATTATTTTCATATAAATGTATAAGTATATTTACATTCCACTATAACGTTATTATTACTTTTATAATAAATATACAATTATTAATTGTACAGAAGAAGTGGTCAAATTATAACCAACAATAAAATCAAAACTAAAGTTATTTTTGGTACATAATTATTTAGTTATTTCATTAGTTTTGGTTATTACCAAAAACTAAGGCATCGAAGACACAGACTCAGAGGGCACGCCAATATATCAATTACTGGAATGTGAAGACAGCGCAATAATGTTGATTACTGAGTGCTATAAATGTAAAGCTTTTTTGTGGTCCAAAGAAGATAAATTAGTAGATCTCAAAGTCCTTAACTGGACGTTAATGTTTAGATAACCTAACAAAAATAAAAAAAATTGACAGTCGTATCCACGGTAAAAAACTAGGAAATCTGGGCCCTTAGTAATAGGGAATTCAATCTTAAGTCACTTTATTAGTTATTAAAGTGTTGTAACCTAACTTTTCTGACGTTATTTTAAATTCAATATTTATAGTTTTTGCACGTTCTTTTTTGCTGACGTTATGTTAAACCTAGGTTTCTTCCGTTATTTAAAAGTAAAAAATGTGTTTATAGCCATGGAAAATGACTTCGCTAACGTTTTAAGATATGCCGAAGATCACTTGGCGTGAATCACAATTATACCCTTACATGAACCATTATTTTGTGCGATATTTTTGATGATCAACCCCAATGAAGTTCCAGGCAAACTTCTAATTTTTCTGCTACAAAAATTCACCTTCAAATCGCAGATTTAAATATTCTTTGGTATGATGAAATTAGAAGTCGATGTATTAGATGTTTTTTTGCAATAAAGAATAATAAACCAAGCAAAATCTCTATTTTTCGCATTCCTATCGTATTACTACTGACAACACCACCTACGCCTTAAAATTTAGTAACAGGGGTCTAATTCCGCCGTAGAGAGCCTTGAACTTTGTCGGTTAATCGGAAACGTTATTTATCATCTAGTGCGCAGGCTTCAAATAAGGGATAAAGTAAAACAACGACTAAATAAGAAGTGCAAGAAGTGTCAAATATTGTGCAAAATTTACAATATAAATTTTATTTATATTTATATTTCCAATATAAATTTTCTACTAGGCCGTCATTGAATTTTATCTCATCTGATTGACAATGTAGTGACCATATTAAATATAAATTTGCACTTGAATATTATCCACCCTCAAGCTACTCCGGAAACGAACCGAGCATACAAGAGTATCCGGTCTACGGTGTCTGCGTCCTTGAATTGGAAGTCGATCTACTATCAGGTCTGCACCAAATCAACAATGTCGACATTTTGGAAGATGTAGGTCAAAGCATGAGTCCTTTGATCGACATCGGTCAGCTCGAGGGGGCATTCGTTATGGGTGGGAACTTAACAACAATCTCTCCAATTATCATTCAAGATTAATTTACAGGCATCGGTTACCATTCGACGGAAGAACTCAAAATGGACTCTGACGGCAGAGTAACAACCGATCGCACCTGGTACTACAAAGTACCCGGATTTCGTGACATTCCGGTCAATTTTAATGTTCGTTTCTCTTCGAATACGCCTAACCCGGTAGGAGTTCTCAAGTCCAAAGCGATAGCTGAGCCACCTACATGCCTGGCCATATCCGTACAGCTAGCTATACGATCGGCCTTGGCATCGGCTAGGCGGGAGGCTAATCCGGGATTACCGGTTTGGTTCAACGTGGGTAAGTAGATGACGTGTTATTCACCAATAACAAAAAATAATGAAAATTTAAAAAAAAAGTTAAACAAAGACTTAGGGAACAGGAAGAACGCACATTTAAAACCAGGGTATAGGTAGAGTACATCGTTCCCATTGACTCAGTTCTTTTGTTTTATTGTGTATGCGCAAAAATAACAATAACTATGGAAGTTTAAATATGTTATATAAATATGAATTTTTATTGTATTTGTATTTTTCTTAAATGATTTTTCAAAAAATGTTGACGTTTCGATAAAAATTGGCACTTGCAAATCCAATTTGATCTTAATTTGGCATATTATTGTAGAGGCACATTACCTACAAGCCTTTTTCTTTGTCGAAGTCAAAAAATTTTACAACAATAATAAAAACTAATAAAAAAATTATAAGAAACAAAAAGTCCCAATTAATCATCCAAAACATTAATGTAAAATATTCAGAAAAAAAAATTAAAATATTTTGAATGAAGCCCTTGGGATGTTTATATTACAGGAAATTTCTTACAAAACACTGATTACCAATGGTGAAATTTACATTTATCTTTCAGATGGCCCGTCAACGGTTGAGAAGATCCTGCTTAATTCGCTCAACAATTACAAGCAATATACTTTATAGTCATATAGAGTTTAACTATTTTAAGCTTTTACAATTGTTACTGGCATATAATAAAGGTTTTATAAGAGTCTTCTTTACTGTTTGATATTCTAGCCCATACTTATTGCCAGATAAAGTATAATATGAAATATGAACGAACATTTTTGAAATCAAACACGCCAGACTAAATTTTATATGTTCAAATTTCTTTCTGGTACAATGGTAAGTTAGTAATTATATCGGCGGCAGCGTGTATGGATCAATCTTGCGATTTGAAAAGACTTGTCCATAAATATTTTGAATGCATATTGTCGGTTATATTCAGTGCAATGAGAAATATAAAATTTAATAAAAAATTGTCACATACTTAAAACCCAAACGATTTAAAGACTTCAATTTCGAATTTTAACACTTTTAATTTGTTATTTTGATTGAAATTGGAGATTTTTACGTTGTCTGTGTACTTGTGTATCATCTTTTAAGACAATGGAAAATAAATAAATAAGTAGGGTTTAACCTTTAAGATTTTCAGGATTTCTGCTCCAGAAACGACTTGACTTATCTACTAACTAGCACGTTTAAATTATAAAAACGAGGTATTTTTCGCAATACCCGTCCCTACAATTAAATTAATAATAACAAACAAATCAATATAAATTAAAGCACTTTATATTCACCTAAGATTACAAAATTTCCAAGTGATAATTAAATTTATACATATATACAGGACTATTAATTTCTAGCCGACAGTACTGTACTGGTACCCGGGGCCACCGTTATCTCTCCACTTTGGCCCGCTTCTCGTTGAGGACTCTAAACAAACATTCCATTACATGGTGGCACCCAATCAACCCTTAACCGTTTACCTGCACCTGAATCTTATTTTTCAGAACCGCAGCTCTCAAGATCAACATCCTAGTTCTCCTTTGGTACTCCTTGCCTATTGTAAGACTTTTCTCGAACGTGGTACTCCTCTGATCCACGTCTTTGGCGAATAAAATTTTGTTATGGGAATCAATTCGCGCCTGGATCTGCCCGTCCAAGATGAGCTGCATCAGTTCGTCTTCCAAAGCGGACACCGTCCTGTTAAAAGCCTGCGCCATTTTGTGCATATCCGCAGATAAATACGGACTGAAGTACTGAATCAACGCGCGGTTCCTTATTTGGGTATACAGGGTATTAATGTGAGGGGCAATGTACATGTCCAACAAGAGATTGTCTTTGATCTCGTCCAGCAGTTTCAGGCAAGAAGCATACTTGGAATTATAAAATTTAAAGATGATGTCTCTGAGCTGAGGCTCGAGTTCTAGGAATAACTTAAACGTCGTGTTGTTGATAACGTTTTTCTGCAACTCGTGCCTATCGAATGTAGCGAGGGCGCACAAACCCCCGTACATCGCAACATTGTTCGGAGACAATAAATCAGGAAAATCGCAATCGTCCAAGTTTGCTTGGAGGAAATGTTTAGCGCCCAGTTTGTATTTTTTGGTCGCCAACTCGGCAAGGCCCGCCGCGCACCTAAGTTTTGTGAATATCACGGGGTTCGTGTCTTTCGCTTGAGACTCTGAAAAATCTGCAAAGGATACGCGAAGGTATCGGTTACCATTTTTAGCGGATATCGCTATCGGCTTGACGAATATTTTATTTTAAAATAACAATTTATTACACACATCTAAGAAATTAACAAACAAGGCACAGGAGCCTTGCAGCTTGAATATTTTTATGAAATTTGTGTTTTGTGATAATGCTTTTTCAGCTTTATAGCAAAAATGACTGTTTTCCCAGTCAAATAAGCTCAAGTTAATGTAAGCTTGTGCTTATGTATACTCCACTAAAGATATAATATTTATTATTGTGTTGCAACTTTGATTTTTAATATTGTACTAATTCTTGCTATTTCAAAATTTTCAGTTTACATATGGGGAAAGGCACTTTTTTAAATTTTTCATTCTTTTGGTGTGAAGTTTAGGACATTATACCTAATGCAAATTGTTTTTTAAAACATATTTTGGATTAATGAAAAAGTAACTTGGAGAAAATAATTAACCTTTTTTAAGTGAATATTAATTTAGACTATGACTAATATACCTTTCGCTTTTATACAATTTCCTTGACCTCACAAACCTTCAATTTGACTGAAAACTCACCGGGTGTTCCTTCTGCTTTAGCCACATAACTCAGCACATGAGACCAGTTCTGTAAATGGATAGACACTTTTATAACGTTCAAGCACATGTTCACTACATGTTTGCCACTGGTGCAATAGTCTCTGGCCCTTGAGTAACACTTAAGGGCATTGGAGAGGTCTCCACAATCCAGATAGTGGTCTCCCAAGTCATCGTGACCTCTTCGTATACTTTCCTTTATCGAGTTTGACTTGTAGTTTTTTAAATCATTATCTAATTTCTCTAATTTAAGGGCGGCTTTCTTGATACGCGTCTCCATCCACATATTGTCAATAACCAGCACATCTTGGGATGTGGACGGAGCCGCCACATCGGGCACATTCATGTTACTCGTCACTTCTGCTAATCTTTGATGAAGTACTTGATATAAGTTAACATTGTATGTCGTCATGACGTAGGAAATTGCGATTTTTAGGGCTTCAAGCCTGAGGGATGGACAATGATCTATGATGTACAACAGTCGGTAAAGTTTGGCTAACCCGGTGTAGCTACTAGCATACACTTCCAGGTCCAACGTGGGATTATCCACTACATAAAACAGTTCCTCATTGTTATCATTGTCCTCGGCCGGTGCATCCACTTGCATCGGTTCCACAGCGTTCTGCAAAAATCGCATTGTGAAAACCTACCCTCTTTATAGTAGACGGCTTAAAAGTGTGACGTTTGACAGATGGACCAAACGATAGTTTTCGTTTTCGCCAAAAACGAATTCAATTACCTGCGCCACGGCCATGGGAAACTGAAGAGGCATGCTTTTCACTCAAGGATAGTTTAATAACCCAATTTATTTATAAACAATCTATCAATTCTAGGAATATTTAGATCTTTTGGCAATGTTGGCAACCGATGCGGTCTACCTCTTCTTCGTTTAATTTTGGGTCAATGAGCCCACCGTTAAGGTTGGCTCTAATTCATTTACTCTCGTGAAGTAGTGATGCAGTAGTCCATCGAACGACTTTTGCTTCATGGGATTATATTCTTAGCATATGTAAAACAATCCAAAATAGCCAATAAAATAATTCTTTGGCTTACCATAAAATTTTATTGCTTAGTAACTACAAAGTAATCAGTTACAGTTGATATGAAGGCAAATAATACAATAATAATTTTAAAGTAACAAATAGTCATAATATCAATTAATCATCGCATGGAATCATTAAAATCAACTAAATGAAAAAACTTAAATTATTTATTGACGCGGCGGCATATATGCGTGCTGCTGAGGGTTTGCCTGGGTGAAACCCTTAGAATAGGGATTCCCCTGACCCGATGGGGGATAGACTATGCTGCCATACTGTTGCGGCGTTGGATACGGTATGCTACCTTGGGGTGGGCTTGTATACGCGTTTGAACTTGGAACTTGGGAACTGTCCATCACTTGGGGACCGTATCGGCTGTAATTCAACCAGAACACAAAATATACACCTCTTACGGATCAATTTGATTGTTTTTTTGATTGATGATGAGGATTTAGAATTGGTTCCTAGAAAAAAAAACTTTACGATTAGGGTTAAGCTGCTAAAACTTTTTTTTAACCCTTAATCATGGCAGTAAGTATAAACTGCATCTATCCATTTATTTTAAGAAAATATTTTATTTATTCATATTAAACGAAAATAACGGTTTAATACAAAAAAGTATCCAGAAATCGTGAAAACCTGCTAAAAAAAAACATTATCAAATTACAGACTAATCCCGAATATTTCCGGATGACAAAACGATCCATGCATACCCTATCTATGGTTGAGAAAAAGAAACATTGCAACGGAATAAGATAAAAAATCTTGGGGGGTTGAAATATGCATATTAATAAACTCTCGTAGTTGTGGATTATCCATTCTACTTAATAAAGCAAAAAATAATTGCTAGGCCAGCATAAATTTTGAGATTACACCACACCTACCTTACCTGTACCGGTATGCATATTTTTCCAGATTCTTAAAAGAGAATCCAACAAATTTGAAGATTTTGCAGCAACTAAGTTGATATGTTCAACATATGATAATTTTTCTTCCAACATCACTCAAAGATCCTTAACAAAGAGACACATTTAAGAACTTCACAATGTGATGTTAAACTTTTTGATATCCTCAAAAAAATTATTTGACATTTAGATATGTTTAAACTCAAAACTCAATAACAGAAAAACATTTTTTATTGAGATTCTGCAAACTATTGAACCGAATTTGCTAAAGGTTGCAAAAATCCTATGAAAATGTTGAGACTGGTCTAGCATATAAAAATAATTACGACCAATAGATTTACACTACACTTAATAGAAACAAGAATACATACAACATACCCAGTTGACTGGAAATTGTACTGCTGGGGGTATGGCAATGAACCGTACTGCATGCCCAACCCGGACCTGCCAAAATAGTCGGGCATCCCGTGCGGGTTCGAAGCGGACGTCGCGGCCGTCGGCTGCGGCTGGGGCGCCGCCTGATTCGGCTGGGGTACCATGGAAGTCGATTGCGGACGCGAATTCGTGCCTTCGTTGCTGATCTGAAATAGCAAATTTCATGATCAATGTCTTCAAAACTTAAACATATCTTTAATTAGTTACTTGGGGCGTTGATGGTTTTGAAGGTTCCTTCTGCTCTTCCGTCCCGTTTTTCTGGGTTTTTTCTTGCAAGGGATCAAATTCACTCGAGTTTACTTTATTTAAGGGGGCCGAAGACTGCGTCGTCTCGGCGCCCGATTCGGAGGAGTCATGCTGATTATGGGCCGACTTGACATGGCCTGCGGTATCCAATGAATCCAGCAATTTGTTGACCTGATCACGGATACTCCTCAGCTGGTTTTTTAAATTTGTCACTTCAGTCTGATTAATGCTGCCAGCAGAGTCATGTTTAATCTCTGAATTTAATAATACTTGAAGCTTCAGTATGCGACTGCATTGGATGGCGAACGACAAATCTGTGCTGTCAAAGATCGTGACAAGATCACCATCTGCAAATTTCTCGCGCGTTTAACTTACGTACAAACTTAGAAAATACGGTGCCAACATCAATTCTGTGGCAATAACCATAGAAATTATGATAATACTAAAAATGAGACCATAGAATGTAAAATATGAGAGTTAATAGCAAATCAGAGGCAACTGGCATAAAAAATAGACAATAAACATAAAAATGCAAGGTTTCATTGTACACAGAATCCTTAACATTTAGGGGTACGCGTCTTCCATGTCTAGAGAACGTGTTGAGTATAACCTTATATAGTAGTCAATACAATCTAAATTAATGTACTAATTACCATATACTTAATACATACATATACATAAAAATAAAAATACATAATTACCGTATACACATACATGTCCAGTAAAACAAAAAATTCTTTAGGTATAAAAATTTACACAGTATTTCCAAACAAGTGTCGAAAAAATATGTCATTTTACCTTGATTTAAAAAACTTGTTAAAGTTATTTTTGTGAAATAATATACATAATTTAAAAAACTATAACTTTACTACATTATACTATTTTTCCACACCCTGTATACAAATAAGTGTGTAATATTAAATCTCCAAATCAAACTCTGCAACTTTTGCATTAAACTTTTTTTTTCTAAAATGTAAATACCTAAATACCAAACTTTGCACTCGACTTTGCATTAGCTTAAATTGTATCCTTTCTAATATCCCTGGAACTACCCAGATTTAATAGAAAATGCTAAATTTAAATATATTGTTTGCAAATTTCTTTGTTTCATTTTAACCTACAATTTAAATATATTCTTTAATTTTCCTTAACTAAATGACTATGTAAAATAAAATATTCGATTGTATTTGTTTATCTGAATACTTTTGTTTAACTTATAGAAACCGCACTGAAAAGGATAAATTAATAAAGTACAGTACCAAACTTTAAGGTGTCCATTTTAAAGCAGAAAGTTCATATAAACATACCGACATTCACCCCTCATCAAATTATTAATTCCTGAATAAAAAAATCATTTACATAGTTTAAGAACTGTATAAATCATAATATAATACTATATGAAAGTATTCTACCATATCGTTAGTTCTAGCAAATAAAAAAGGGCAGAAAAGAATCACGTGAAATTCCTCGCGGTCTAGTATCGTTGGAAGACATAAAATAGTGAAAGACGAATTTAAACATAAATCCTATAATCAATAACACTTACTTTAAAGTGCAAAAGACGCAACTTAAAAAGAAAGACTTCAAAAACCGATTACATGGAATCCTGCAACCGTATGTATAAATAAATTAATTACCTTCATCTTTATATTTAAGGGTGATGTCGTCGTTGGCGGTTAATTTGCCGCGAAACACCCTCTGCATCATTAAAACTAATTCATCGTAAGTGATCGCCTCGTTATGGATGGGAATTCGCCTGATGTCGTCGCCCAATTGAACTTTAATAATTAATTTACCGCTTAAGTCCAGCTCGGTTTTCATGTCCATTTTGTTGCCCTACGGATTTGCAATCAGATAACGAGCGACTGTACCCAATCGCCTGCACTTACGCCACTACCGCGGGACCGTTTTCTCATTAAAAACTAAAATAATCCAGAATTCCTTGAGAGGGATAATTAAAATGACTAAAAATCGACAAAAACACCGATGCATAAAGCTGAACGTTGAAAGTTTTTTCTTCTCTGTCAAAATGGAACCGGTGACGCTGTCAACGGTCAAAATTTTACAGTGGTCCCAACTGTTGATTAAATAATCGCAAAATGGAAAAAGGTCCAATACTGCTTTCAAAATTTCGGAAATTTTATTGACGTAGCCGATTTATAAGCATAGGGAGTAAGTTTTACTAACCAAAACCTTAGGAATTCTTTGGTATATTTTATCAGACAGGCGTCTACCACTAAGATACTATTTGAGTTTAGTACAAATAGTTCATTACAAGCTAATGCAGGTAGTCCTCCACCTTCATAAGAAAATTTGCTATGCTAGATAATATCATTATCAAAATATATGTGTGGGGATTGAAATGAAATATATATTCCTCAGGTAAACGTTTTTATTGTTTTATACAAAAATTAGCGTCTATATTATACTAATAAGCATTCAATTTCCTTCTGTATGCTTTGAATCTGTGGCTTGAGCTGAGATCCATCATTGATGGTAACGCTACAAGCAATCACAGATCTTGAAACACCGCATGCCCTTCCCAAAGCCTGCTTCGAGCGGATGAATACATATGGCACGTTTTTGTCTTCACAAAGCAATGGTAAATGAAGAAGGATCTCTAGTGGCTCAGAATCAGCGGCCATTACTATAAATTCGGCAATGCCACGATTTAGGGTTTTCGTCACTTCGTTTGCACCCTTCCGCAGCTGCTTATAGTTTAGTGCTTGTTGCACCAAGTTCAATATTTTCGTAGTTAACGTCGCGTCCGCCAAGGGATATGCTTTCGGGTTAATTTCCTCGGCCTGTAAATGCCACCGTTTATTTTACAAAACAAATACAAAAGTAGCTAAAAATGGTTACCATTATGATCCCGTAACCTCTCGGCGATGATGTTTTCGCTTCACTGAGGAACAAAACTTCTGCTTAATAAACACGTTTTTAGTACGACGCCAAAAACGCTTTTTCTGGTTCAGGTTAACTTCTTCTTAGAGTTCTCCTGTTAACAGTGGTATAGATAAATTCGAATTGACGCATCGTTTTCGACCATATGTTCTCTAGACTTTTATCGACATAAATAAAGGAAGAAATTTTTCTGACGTCAAAGCTAAAAACATTGCATTAATAACAAATTTTGCTCTATCCAAAGGGTATATGCTCTGTCTTTAATAGTTAATATTTGAATTTGGATATGAAAATATGAAGACTGACTTCCAAAGTATTATTTACTTACTGTGTTTTTTAACTAGTTCTTTCGCAAGAAAACACAATCTAAAAATTACGGTTTGGGTTGAAGAATATAAATTGGATTTTTTGGTTAATTCCTCATATTTTAGAATGATGCCAGAAAATTCATTGCTCTCAGTACTTTTGGTTTCTACCAGGGAGGCACTCTGGAAGTCACATTATCGAACTTTCATGCCACACCGATGAACGAATCATCTTTAGTAAGTTGCTTAATTATTGTTTTTTTGATTTTGATTTGTGGCCTTTAGTTTGGTTTTAGTTTGGACCGCACAGTCAATGATGGCATGAATCCATATTTTGATAATCATCAGGATGCGTGCATTCTGGAAAAGAACATAACTGATTATAATAGCAATGAGGACTTCATTTACTTGATTATGGATCTGAAAAATAAACGATTGCAAGTAAAATGCTCCTCTCATCAGAATAGAGTGCTTCATATTTATAAAAGCTCTGATGAGAAAAAAACTTTGTCCTCGGAAAATTCTTGTAGAGACATGCATTTTGACATTTTTCCATTTGAAATAAATGGGAAAACTGCGTATAACACCTCTGTAAGTGATGCTATTGAGCATTTTGACAAAGTATGCTTTAAAAAATGAGGTAGTTCTACTAACATACTTTCTCCATTCTCTTAATAAGTAATGCTTCTGTTTGCATTCAAATATTTTAATTTTAGTTTATGATGTCAGTGGAAACTTTAAGGGAACAAGGTTTGTACAATCTGTACTTCCACAGTTGCCCAAACTACAATCCATCCACAGAGACTGTGGTTGATTTCGAAGTGAAAATCACAGAGCTCAATACTGGTGACAATTACTTGTCAGCTGGCGAGATGCCATTACCAGCCTTGTATTGCATGATGGCCATGTTGTTTTTCCTGTCTGGCATGTTCTGGGTGTTTCTCTTACGCCAGAGTCGGCATCCCGTCTTCAAAATCCATTACATGATGTCCGTGCTGGTGTTCCTCAAGGCCGTCTCACTGGCCTTCCATGGCCTGAATTACCATTACATTGAGAGATTGGGTTTCCACGTCACACCTTTCGCCATTCTGTTCTATGTTGCCCATTTGCTGAAAGGTGCATTACTTTTTGTCGTTTTGGTACTCATAGGCACTGGTTGGATGTTTATCAAGCATGTGCTAACTTCTAGGGATAAGAAGCTGTTCATGATTGTCATTCCCCTTCAAGTTTTGGCAAATGTCGCCGAAATTATTCTAGAGGAAAGGTAGGTGAACTGAAGTGCTCCAAATACAGGGTGTTTTGGATACAAGCTACCATAATTTTTGCTTATAAGTAAGATAAAGTTATAAAAATAGGTGGTTTGTAGAATTAAATATACTTAAAAATACTTAGTTTATAAAGGTAAATAATTTCTTATTGGGAAAAATTTAGTGTGAAATACACACTGACACTTCCCTTATAATGGCCATCTTAATATTGGGTTATTCAAAAAGAAAGAGCAGATTGCAAACATACAAAAGATAGAAGGATGATTCTAGCAGTAATGGTTAGAAAAAAGTGTACAATTATGGTATGCCTTCAATAGGAGCAGCGTGCGTTACACGACGGATGTCAAAATGGTGGCTTAATTCTGGCCACATATGAATCAGCTGGTCTTTGCTTATTTAATTCACTGTTTCATTAATTCGGTGTCACAGATCTTCAAAACTGTCAGGCTTACGAGGGATAAAAACATGCTCTTTTACGTAACCCCAGAGACAAAAATTGCAAGGAGTGAGTTCTGGAGAACTGGGACGCCGCCGTTGATAAATTTTATCTTCTATCTATCCTCTTCCTATCGAACGTCCTGAAACTTTAGAAGTTTTACCTTAGTCATAATAAATTTTATACTTTTCTTTATTGATTATCGTTAGAATCACAATTCTATCTTTAGTAGTTCCAAAAAAAAATAACTGTTTGAAATCCGCCCTTTCTTTTTGAATAACACGTTTTAGTATAATATAAATAATAAATAAATAATATAATAAATTTTCACATTTATATTTCTTACATTTACGATAAGGATCAACGTTCCCGGCGAGATACCCAGTATTCTTGAAAGAAAAAACAATCCGAGCCGTGTTGTAGTGTTAGTAGATGAAGTAGTAGGACCGACAATTTTTTTTTCACGTTGTATTAAATTATGGACTATGGAGGGATTTTTCTTGAATACTGGGCTGGAACGTTATAACGACTATTTGCACTTGGACCTCGGAGATTCACTTACTAAATTACTTATATTTCATCATTTCAACAACACCCTGTATTCTTTCTAATTTTTAGTTTTTTTGCAATATAGCTCATCGCATAGCGACACCTAATTAATGTCGATTGTTGTTAAAGCGAGGAGGGTGCCAGGGAGTACTTGGCGTGGAGAAACGTGGTCATCCTAGTGGATTTGCTGTGCTGCGGTTGCATCCTGTTCCCAGTAGTTTGGTCTATCAGACATTTGCAGGAAGCATCTCAAACCGACGGCAAAGCGGCCATGAATTTAAAGAAACTGAAATTATTTCGCCACTTCTACGTTATGGTCGTGTGTTACATCTATTCCACTCGAATCATAGTCTATCTACTCAAGATTACGGTGCCTTTCCAGTACGGGTGGTTGCACGAGATGTTTAGAGAAATGGCCACCTATGTGTTCTTCGTACTTACCGCTTACAAGTTTAGGCCGGCCTCTCAGAATCCCTACTTTACCTTCAGCGACGATGAAGATGAAGACGTGGATGAGGTGTAAGTAATATTTGTTTTCCTAATTCTTATTCGTTTGTTATATGTTTGTGGTTGAGCTAGGCTGACCGAATCCGGCGCAACGGAGGGTTTAAAGAAAGTAAACTCGAGATTAGTGAAAGTTCCCTTACATCAGACTTTAACCGAAGTGACCGAAGAAGAAAAAGACGCCCTCCTTGGCCAGAGCGAGAGCAGCCACGATTACGATTAGCGCTTTAGTTCATGTGAATTACTTTTATTTATTTAGTGTTCGTGCTGTGATAGGGATTTCATGCGTCATTACACACTCCAGGGCTCAACTTATTTAAGTGTATTTCAACATGATTTTCATTCAAATAAAATATGAAAGCCTTACATTTTTCTTATTTTTTGTTTCTTCCTTTCATGATGTTGATTGATTGAAACGCCACCGAAAAGTTTATTCACAGAGGTTTTTATTAATCGTTATGATACATTTTAATTTGTATAAAGTTAATTAACAGGTAAGTACCAAACACTAACTTACAACTTATGTATGTATGTGCAATGTTATTGTCCACTTAAAATGAAATTTTGTCGTGTTGTTTGTCACTTTGTTTTAATTCTCTGCGGGTGTAAATAACCAATTATAAGTAGGTGCTAAACGTTTTGCGGCGGCCATTTTTCGTGGACGCGCGAATCCTGATTGTGCGGTCGGAATTGACAATAACTTTATTTTAAGGCTATAAAATTTGTAGATTTCGGAATCGTTACCCCTAATTCTAAATATTCCATTAAGTGTGGTGGTTAAAATTTCCTATATAACGTGGCAGTAAACGGTAAGAGTCACTTAACGTTACAAATACAATTAGTTTTGATTCGCAAAAGTTCCTTATGCATTAAATATACATGTACTTTACACTAATAATATATAATTACTTCACCTTCGTATCACAGCTATTTTTTAAACACGCCAGTATATTTGACCGCCAACTTCTATTTATTAATATAAGAGAAAGTGCATCGGATAGACCCGCAGAATAAACAGAGGTGAAACCATAGATAAATCTGCAGTTATTTATTCTATTGATGGGGCATGCTTTTTGTTATAATAAATAATCTTTTGCAACACTTAGTGACTTTCATAACTATTAGTTACTAAATTAATGTGTAACTTTGGATCTTTATAATGGGGCACCAACAATAAATTCGGAGTCTTATAGTGCGAGTAGACGAAGTAAATAAGAACTACTTTTTCAAATACTTGGCTACAACCATCATAACGTTTATTTTTGTTATTTCTCCATCGGCCTCGTGATTCATTAATTAAATTAAATTATGTCATTTTTTTGTATATAGGTGAGATTGTTCAAAATATATATTTTTTTGATATTTGGTCGCTTGTGGAAAGCAAATCATGCGAATTTCATAAAAGGTCAACAACAGGTCAATATTATAGTGTTCTATGTCTCTTCGGTCAAATATAGGGCGTGCCTTCAAGTTCAGATCTGAAGTTATTGGAATGTACGTATTTGAATGCCCATTTGTAAATATCTATTACAGTTATCAAAATCAGTTATCGTTCTGAGGTAGTTTTTGAAACACTGAAATATTATAGGCAGCGTTATTTGCACAATTTCAACAATAATGTCGAGCTTCTTCCCCAAATGAAAAATCTCCGAAATAAAGCGAAACTGCTCATCTAGACCGGAGTACCCTCCGATCTAACGGACTTGTATCAAACACTGCGGTTCGTGTTGGGGGTTATGGTGGTGGTGGCGGTGGGCTGTGGAGTTTTGGCGGTTCCTCTGCTTGGTATTCCATCCCCGATGCCCAAAGTTCTCAGCAACGTGTTTCTGAAGTCTTCAGAGAACAAACAGTATATGTAGAATGTTATCGAATAGTTTGCCACTTCCAACAGGTTTGCGATGGCCCGAAATACCTACAAAGGGATATTATTGGTAAATTGTTGTAAAAGTTACCATCGATATTGACAAAGATAAGAGGAGACACTCTGCGGTTACACACTATTTGCGACGTCTGCTCGTAAATCCCAATCTTACCTGATAGGGATACTTCATCAGATTTAAATCCGAGAGGGTAACGTTCAAAATGACCATCGGAGTGACGCAGACCAAAAACAAAATGCTAGTCGATCCAAGCAGAAGAACTAGACGCCTCTCTTCGGCGAATTTCCGAGGATCCTCCTCTCCAGAACTCGTCCTGCTGATCGTCATCTTTCGACGTTTTTCGCAGGATTTTCTGTACACGACGAGGATCCTGAGATTCAGTGCCGCCAGCAAAACGATTGGAATCACCTTTTTCATCATATTACAATTAGTTTATTGCATATATTATAACATTATATATGTTAGGTAATATAGCGACCTAAGGACGGTAAAAGATGCGCCTCAGGCGGCAACAATATTTTTGTGCACGTTTTTAAATTTTGCACACTAACATGCACTTTTAACACTTTTAACTCGTTTTTCCAAAGCACTAACGAGATCTAGACTTATATTTTGCGAAAATACCGCCGTTAAAATGCTACATGTGAACTGAAGCTTGTTAAATTGTCGAACTGTCAGCGGTTATGTGGATGTTGAGCGCCGAAACGTCTTTTTGCTTTTGCTTATATCTAATAGCTATATCGTTTATTGTCAAACGAGTGTATCAAGTCTATCCAAGTCTGATTCAAGCTGAATACAATCACTAGTGTAAAACTTTTCATTGATTTTAAAAATTTTAAATTTCATAATACGAACACGATACATTTTATGATAATTTCAGAGCATTTTTATTTGTTCTGTCCAAGTTCAGAGGAACATTATTGCATTATTGCCTAGTCAGAAATGAAAACTGTAAAAAACTATTGGCAATTCTCTATTTCCAATTGGCACAGTATTGATAAACGTAAATTTAAATTCTAGTAATCGCTGGAATTTTGGCCATATACGAGTTTTTCGACATTAATAGGGTAATAATCCTTGTGCCTGTTTTTGTTTAGGTAATTTAATGCCTTTTTTGCTATGAAACCATCTTATCATATCTACTTACCTTAAAAATAAACTCTAGCGACACTTTGTACACGCTATACAACGGATGAGTGACGTAGTCGGTATTCTCAGTCCTCTGGTATATGACATTCCCTTCTGGCAACAACCGGCAAGTTTTCACGTAGCTTCGGAACATAAACGGAATGTATAGGACAAAAGTAAGCAGCGGAATTAGGACCACGGCCCTGATGGGCGACCCTAGGATGGGCCTCGCGTATCCTGGGTGACAAACACTGACGTAGCGTTCGAGAGTGAGCGCGAGGAGCATCATTACGCCAATGCCCAAGCATCCGTTACCCAGAAACAGTTCCAGGTGAGCAAAGTAGAACGCTGGGATTATGTTCTCCCAGTGACCGTGTTCTCTATGAACCAAAACTCGCCACGCGAACGGCAAAGCGAACAGGATTGCTAGAAGGGCAGCAGCCGAATACCCTGAAAGAAATTTGTACTGTACTAATTAGCACAAACAGCACAGAAAGTCTTAAATTCAGCTTCGCATATTAAGGAATTAAAAAAAAAAACAATAATAAACTATAGATGGCAATGTCACCCATATAACTAAAGTCATTGGTGAATGTAAGGCCATAAGTATGGCGCAGTTGTTTCACGCTATTCTAGAATTTTATGTAATAGAAATGTTGTGGGCAAATAACCACAAGTGGGCCTGTTTCTCTAAAATGTTGAAAAATTACTATTAAAAAAACAAAGAAATTTCTTCTCCCCAGATTTCTGTTCTATTGGTCATGAATAACAGAAATCTTCCAGAATTCTTCTCTAACTTTTCTTCTATTTATTTTAATACAGTTGACAATAAATACTAACTATCTTGGAATAGTTAAGTACGTTTCAAATAGTTTATTTAAAGGATATGGCATTAGTTTATTAACACAGAAGTTGGTATTTCCATCTATAAGTCAATTTTAATATGCAGGGGGTCCAAAATTTAATAACAAGCTTCTCTAAATATAAGAAATAAAATGTGTGCTACTTAATTTATTATTGCACCTTCGTCACAGACAATATGTACGTCCAAAATCCTGGTAAATTGATTCCTAAATTTTCACCTAAACAAAATGGTTGTAGGTAATATTATTACTGTAATTGTTACTGTAAGTAATATGAAGCACAGACTATGGAGAGTTAAATTAAATTTCATACATGTTTTTTTTGGTTAGTTGACTATCAAAATTATAATATTTTACGGAGAGTGGTGCTTTATAAATAATAATTCATTTATAGCAATTTAGTTGTTTTAATTAATTCGAGATTTTAATGGGCCGTGGCCGTGCCTACTGGCACCGAATTTGGGACACACGTTATATAAAAACCTGTAAAATAGTAGCGCAATCGGTCAACCGTATTATTACGTAGATTATTATCTCGGTTTAAGCTGTTGGCAAGTGATTTAAATACAGAACGTGTGTTCGATGGGGGCGGCGCAGAATACTCCCCGCTAGGGTCGCTCGTTGATCCGTCCCCCGTAGGAAATTGTATTATTTGGTTATCGGCGCCCCGCGCGCCCCCACACGGCGGAATAATTTATTCTCCATAAGGTTTGAAAGCATTGTGTAATTCACACGCGGGGGTTATTGAATTTCGTAACCGTGGGGCGGCGCGCCGCTTTTAGCGTCGGAATTAACGGCGACCCACTGAGTCGTTGGGTTATTTTTAGCCTTTTTTTGGTTCGCGATGAAGTTTCGGCGACCCGACGTAATGAACTTTATAAATCCGCAGTAGATATGAATCGCTAATACCGGGCAAAAAAGCATAGCGAGAAATAACCTAAAAATACGGGAACACCCCAAACTATCACAAAATTTCCGGTGAAAGAGGCTTTGTCAGTGATCAAGTAATCAACTTAAATTCATGAAGAATTAGATCTGCTTATGTTTTGACGCGTGATTACGCAATATGCGGACCGGACAATTATGGAGAACCTATTTCGGTATAACATGCCCGAGTTCTTTGCCCAAATCCCGTTCTTGATATTGCATAAAGCAAAATGTAAAAGAATGTCTTGGTACTTATCACCAGAAAGGCAATGATCAAATCTGGCCTACGTATACGGTCGTCTCTGCTTGCACTTCACTTTTTACACATTAATGCTTTCCTTATAGCACAAAAAGATTCGTAACGAAAGGTTATTAGACGGAAACGCAGCAAAGGACGCATTCGTAGGATTTACCAAGACATTATATATATATATATATATATATATATATATATATATATATATATATATATATATATATATATATATATATATATATATATATATATATATATATATATATATATATATATATATATATATATATATATATATATATATATATATATATAAAACTAAATGTATAATTTAGTGTGGAAACCGAACATTCCCGCCTCCCTGAAAATACCTAGGGTATTTTCAGTTTAGTCAATACAATGGTAAAGAGCACAATTTAACCAACGCTCACCTAAAAGTACCTTTGGATGTTTTGACGATGGCCACACGTCGCAGACATCATCTTTACCCGGTATAAGTTCTTTGATTTTACCCGATATCCATTCAAGCGGAGCAGTATTTTCATTCTTCAGACTTACGAGCAAACCGATGGTCGGTTTGCGTTGATCAGACAAATGCCATTTAGCTCTTTGTGTCAAAGTATGTAAATACTCTTCCTTCCATCGTTTCCAGAAATCAGCTTGCATACGCATTAGTAATTGCCAACGAGTTAATTTATTTAATTGAATATCGACACTATTTGGGTCTGGAAGAGTAGCTAAAGGACCGTAAACTAGAAAATGAACAGGCGTTAATGCTACTAAACGGACTTTAAGGTGGAGAATTTAAAAGGGCTTCAATTTTTACGAGAACCGTATTAAGTTCTTTGAAAGTATTACTCTTTGGAAGTGCGTTTTTAAGGATTTAATATTCGCCTCCCAAAGTCCACCCATATGAGGCGCAGCTGGTGGATTAAAATGCCATTTTATTGCTTCTCTTTCTGCAACCTCCGAGAAATTATTGTTAAAATAATTGCTAGCACCCACAATATTAGTACTGCAATCCGAGTAAATGTTTTTACACATGCCCCGTCTACTAATAAAGCGTCTAAACCCAGCTAGGAAACATTCAGCCGAAAGCTCTGAAAGCTATTCTAGGTGCAAAGCCTTAATTGAACAACATACAAATAGACGTATCCAAGCTTTTGAAGTTTTCGCGTTTCGAAATTTTCCTAGCTTAATTGTGTAGGGTCCACGGCTACATTTATGAAAGGTAACACGAAAACTAGGGAGATTGCCCATAGGAGGCTGAAAGGTGGATGGTTTTGCTTTCCAGCAACGTAAACATTTTGCGGACTACACCTCTCACAACCCTTTTAAGTGAAATTATCCAAAAATGTTGCGAGAGTAAAAAGCATGTGGTTTGTATACCAGAGTGCATATTTATTACGTGAGTTTCACTGATAAGCATTCAAGTAAGTTTTGAGTTACCTGGTAGAAGCAATGAAAATTTTTGTTCAAATTTAAAATTGGAATTGGATAGTGTACTTCCTACACGTAGCAGATCTGAATCTCACCATTGTTTATAAGCAGTATTTCTGCATTGAAACTTTCACGTTGAACGTGATTTATCAATAGCAAAAGAGCATCATTTAATTCGCCGTATGTAAGCCATTTAAACTGTATATTAAAGGAGCGTTTTAAATTGGAAGCTTTTATATTTTTTAGGATTTTTATGAAACGTAGTACGTAAGCAAGTACTCGATTTATTTTAGTGAGACAAGAAATTTTTTGTAGCAAATAATCGTAGATTGTAGGTGAGGTAATAGCAGCTAGAAATACCTATCTCCTCTCTAATTCATGTTCACCCTTTTCGGTGGGTAAAACAGTTTTAAATTTCCTTGATTCTGATGAATTTAAAAAATATGTTAAAACCGTTTGCCCATAACGCTCAATTTACAAATTCATTAGGAAAGGGTCCTCGCGAACCACAGTCCGTTGCGTTGTCCTTTGACGGACCGTACCACCCTTTACTCGGAGGTAAAGTCTGTTCATAGATATAAGAAAGCGACTAATTGATACGAATTAAGAAAAGACCCGAGCAAGCTGTAAGAATGAAATATGGCCGAACAGGTGCGTACTTTGCTTAGAATTTAATTATTTGGGGTTTTGTTAGGAAATATACTAAACAATATTTATTTATTTATTTATGTATTTATGTTTAAATGTAAAATAAAATTACAAATTATTTTTATTACCTACTTAAATTATTTAAATTATTCACATAATATATCACTATCGCTATCATCGCCTGTTCTAATTATTATTTGTTCTATATTATTTGCAATATGGATATACGATTGTTCTGCTTGTTCTATATGTTTAACAAAATTTGCCAAACTTTGTGGAGGGATGTTAAAACTTTCGGTTTCCATAAGTTTGAGGACATTGGAGTTAACACGGACAAAAACATTGAATGGCAGATTTCAGTTGGTGCTAAACATGTTCAATGGGATTAAATATACAGTAGCCTTAAAACTCTATGCCCTAGATTTTTTGCATAATTATCACAGACGTATTCCTTTTGTAGGTTCAAGCTTTGTAGAACCTCAATTAATTGCTTTTTGGTATAATCTTTGTGAAAATAAATTATTGTTGTTATTATACATGTAGTTTTGGATTGTTGCATTTGTGTCATATGAGGAAGGGGTTTTAGTCAACTGTCTACTGTGATAACTTGCATTGTCCATTATAATGACGCTATTAGGAGGAATGTTTGGAACTAGTTTGTTTTTAAACCAACTTTCAAATAAATCAGCGGTGGTGTCTTCATGGTAATCCAGAGAAGAATTTTTAATATTTTTTGCAGACAGAGAAAGTTCATTTGGAATCCAACCATCTTTAGAGCCCGCATGCAAAATCTTTTCCGGGGTATCATAAGTGTCGAACCAGGTTTCATCCAAGTAAATAATTGGCCTTTGTTGTTCTCTGTAAATCCTATTTCCTTCTAGATATTCCAGTCACCATTTCCGAATTCTAAAAGATTCCATTAAAACTTGCATTTTGTCAATTTTTTTAAATCTAAAATCCATGTGTTGAATACACTTCCATAAGGTAGTTCTGCCACTCGAGAAAATGTCAACATTGCTTTTTTTTTTCCTCGCTGAAATGGGATTATTCATAATTTTCCATACAGTTGATGTTGGAATTTTCGTCAATGTGGCCGTTTCTTCTAAACATGCTTGCTTGCTGGCACCACGTTCAATGAGAGGCAAATAAACATTGTTTATAACATCCTTACTCCCAATAGAATAGTGTTTTCTCTATTTGGGCGGGAGCATCTCCTGAGATACACTAGACTCGCACATATTTTGCATAATTTGCACACGCTTCAACACACGTTGTATTACACACGAAATAAGAATGATTACTAACAAACTTAAACTAAGTAGTATACCAAACGAAAGAATATTAAACGCAGGTAGGTATAAAATTATTTTCTATTACGGACCACAATTTTACCTTTAAATTCCGAAACTTTAGGTAATAATGGATAATCCCATTCAAAAGTAATCGGTCACTTTCTTATATCTATGAACAGACCATACCTTTTCTTGGATAAAAGCGACTCCATTTGCAACGCAAGTGCGGAGACGATTTTATCCATGAAAGCGCTACGATGCTATCGCTAAATGCAAATATATCTTCGAATTTAATTTTTGCCTGGTAAACATCGCAAACAAAAGTAATCAATTTCGAAAGTAGTACTGCCGATACCAGCTGTAACGTTGGTAGTGAAATTGTTGTAAAGGAGCGACTTTAGACTTTGCGCATATAAAGAATAATTTGACTGAATTGTCATTATATTGAATTCGTAAATAAATGATAGCACAGGTTCCTTTCGATTAAGCACCGCAATAGCGAATTAAGTGGTAATATTGGAAATTGCAAAAATTTATTTGGGGCGGAATTGAAAAATCTGTAAGAATTGCGAGGTCCTTTTTAAATTCCCTCCATTGGTTTACAACCTCCCCAAAAATGTGATAGGAGTTAAGAAACCCAACGGATCAAAAGTGCGTACAAGTTCAGATAGTATTGCTCTTTTCGTACATTTTGATTCTTTCCAAACGAACGGAAAATAAAAAATGTCTTTGGTAGGGCTCCACCTAGAACCTAGAATTTTTAATGTCTTGACTGGGTCTATATCAAACTAAAATTTAATATTTTGTACATGGGATTCCGGTAATCCTTATAGCAGTACTTTAGAATTAGAAGTCCATTTCCTAATTTCGAATTTTATCCTGCGCAACAGTTCTATTAATTGATTTCTCATTAAAACAGTAGTCTCTATGTCATTATGTCCAAAAGAACAGTCATCGACAAGACTTTGACTATTAATTATTTCCACAGCTAAAGGTAAATCTGAACAGCCAAATGTAAAAGTGTGCGGATAGCTAAGTATGGAGAACAAGAAATGCCAAAAACTAAAACGTTTAACTGAAAATCGAAAATCGGTTGTCTGCAACAAGATCTCTTTGAAGTTTAGGACCTGTATGTAAAGCTTGATTTAACGAAATCTTATTATAAGCATGACTGCTCGCATCGAAAACAACACGTAAGGGAGTAGTAATGGAATCATGTCGCAATACGGCATGATGCGCAATATAAAAATAAGCGTTTATATCTTGTATTGTTGGAGCAGCAACTTGCTCCATCTGTTTAAGCTCCAAGTATTCTTGCATAATCTTACTGTAAGCAACGTGTTAAATTTTTGTCATGCATGAGTCGCCTTTCTAATGATAGAAACCGACGTAAAGCCAATGCACGTGTATCACCGAAATACAGAGCACTTATTTTAAAAGGTAACGACACCATAAAACTGCCGTCGTTATTACGCTTCGTAGTATTTACAAAGTAATTTTTCACAAAACATATCTTCTGGTTTTTCGATATTGTGTGAGTTCCAAAAAAGTTTTAAGGTGTTGCCTAGTCTATCATCGCGAGAATGTGTCACAAAAAGTGTTCTAATGTTTTGTGTATATTTCGTGGCACCGAATATTATTTGTATTTCGCTAGACTTATTAAAAAATGAATCAGCAAGTTTTAGGTTACTTAAATGCGAAAATGTATTTACCGAAAAGTCAACGACGGGCGTATTATCGCAAATTTTGTCTATGACAATAAAGTCTTCTTGAAAACTTTTCGAAGCATTTTCTATGGCCGAAATTGTGCAGTAAACACCACATTTGGCAGGCACGCACATTTTTTTTTAAACATTTAATATTATTGCAACTGGATATTTTGACAAACCTAGTTTATCAGCAAATTGTTTTAAAATAAAACATCACTGAACACCTGGATCCACAATGGCTCGAGCTCTATGCAAGTTTCCGAAGGAATCACGTACATTTAATAGTACCGTAGTGATAATTTTTTGTTAACATTCCTACGTTTACAACTCTATTAGTATCGATAGTCGTAGACGCGGACGTCGAATTCGTCAAATTATTATTTCCCGTATTGTTTTCGATATTATCCCCGAAAAAATGAAGCAACGAATGATGCCGTTTTTTACAATGTCGACAACGTTTCTGAGACACGCATTTTGAAATTGTATGTTTATTGGCTAAACAATTTACGCAATCATTAATATTTTTTATTATTTGAAACCTTTCGGATGCATTTTTATCCAAAAACGTAGAGCAGTTAGATAGTATATTTGCGGTCCTTTACATAGGAGATAAGTGTCAGACTTAGGCGCAGATCCATCCGTTTGAACGAGTAATGCATTCGAATTACGAGTGGGGTAGAGAAATGGTCGCCTATTCTAAAATTAGCAGTATTAATTTTGGTTGCATTTTTTGATGTACTGGGTTTCGTAAAGACTGAAAATTGTTTCCTGTTGCATGAGGGCATTTTCCTAGCGCCTTCCAATTGACAGGTCTAAGACAGGCAAAAGTTTTTAACATTTGTTTTTCTTCGGATACAAGTTTGCTGTAAATTGTTTCAATTTCTAAATAACGCATAGTAAAATCATTTAATATTTTAGCCTCAACCTCTAATTTATTATTATTTTATTATTTATTTATTGCCCGCTAAAGCAACTACGATAGCACAATGATGTTTTTCGAAATCACTTTTTAAACCCTTTAGATTTTTATACGACATTTTAAATAGGGTAAGACTAAGAGAATCAGCCGAAGCCTTTAAAGCGCAATCTTCAATAGCTTTCAATAGTTTTTAATTGATCTATAGCAATTTTTCTCAGCGCATCGGAGCGAAAAAATTTTTGTTCGTCGCTCAGTACCATTTTGTCCAGTAATAATAATTAGTAATTATATATGAAGAAACGATGAAAGTAAAGAAGTAAGTTTATTTCAAATATTTACTTAATAGCAAAAACAAGTAAAGTAAATGCAAAAAAAAATAAACAATGCACCTTGAAATGGATATATCGGTCAATATTTCTGGTATCGCAAGTATATAGCAAGAATGTGAACTTCACCAACTGCATTGGAAAGAAGATATAGTAATATCGAAGCAAAGTAAATTAAACAGCAAATGCCGTGTACATTGGTCGTAATCTGGGTGTTCATCCGTTCGTTGTTGAGGCCGCCCGTCCTCTGAAGATGCCAAGTGATATTTTGGCGAAACGTCAGGCGAATGATCCTATTCCAGAGTTAAACAACGAACGGACGAACACCCGGAATACGACCAATACACGTAGTTCCATCCGTGAATGTCTAAAGCAAAACATATATGTATGTATATATATATATATATATATATATATATATATATATATATATATATATATATATATATATATATATATATATATATATATATATATATATATAAACTGATACAAGACAGCAATCCTCATTGCTAGCTGTTTTTTATATTATAGAATTGATTGGCTCAAAATAGTAATATTAAACGCGAACCATCATTTAGATAAAAAGTGACTCCTTACTGAGTTCTAGGCTCTTTTACGTAAAAATTAAAAAACTTTCTGTTACTCAAAAGTAGTTGATTTTTAAAAATGTTTTGAGCTCAGGATTCTACACCTAAAATAATTTAATGAACGAACGTACGTACTTCTTATTGGTTCCTAGATCTTTGGTAAATACTTTGTATATAAGGTAGCAAAATAAATGCCTCGAATCACCCTGTATTTACCAGTTTAGTTCCAATACGCCAGCGACGCGAAGGCAGTCAGATAACAAACCGACGATTAAACGGTAAATTATCCAAAACGCCCGGTTAATTGTTCATTGAAACCCTAATATCCTATACATCGACTCCCATTTCGTCGGAATCTGCAGCCTCAAGGGGGCGCCTGAAGGTCGCCGTAACAGTCCGCGTTTGTTTAGCAAAATTCGAGAACTAATATTTACGCATACTTGTGAGAAATTTGCAAAGATCCCGATTCGAGTCTATAGGTTTTCTCGGAAAACGAACGGGCGGCGAGCGTTTTTTCTTACGTGCCTACGATTTTGTCGAACGCGTACCCGCCAATGAGTGAAAATTAAATATAGAAGGATGATATAAAACGCTTATTTTCAAAGTTTTTCCTGTGACGATTACATTTGCGGTTCGTAAAAAGTGAGGATCAAGTGTGGAAAAATTAGGGCGCGATGTGCCTCTCGCTGGTATTTCTGTAAGTTTGACCCTTTTATATTTTTAATGCCAGATGTTTATGTTAAATATGAATGAATAAAATTCTATTTCGGTTAACGTCCGAGACATATTCCATTGTGGTAATTGGGTGAATACTGTCGTGGCAATTATAGGGAACATGGGTGATTATTATTCCGATTTGATGGTAATCAGTCGTCATAATTATAGTGATAATATTAGGTAATTTAAGGATATTTGCAAGGTAAACATAAGCAAGTTTTTGGTAAGTCGTTCAAAACTCATCTGATTCCGAAAATACATCGTGAAAAATCGAAAATTTGTGTTATGTAGAAATAGAAAAATATGCTGTACCATAAGATTTGGAACATATTGGAAATATCTTTCTTTTATGTCGGCAATCTGAAATTGTCGACAAAAGTGAGGTGGCTAAAGTAAATTTCAAGATATAATTATACTACTATACTACACATATAAATAATAAGAACCTAAAATGGAATATTTTGTGACATACTTTTCTAATTTGACCAAAAATTGGTTAGTTTTGGTTTTGTTGTTATGTTTCTTTTAGGCTTGGTGCTATTTTTATGTTCTAGGTTTTATATAGTTTTCAAATTTCTTAATTTTCTATTACCCTCGAAGTACAGGTTAATAAGTAGGATAATTGAAAAGTTTTCTTTGCTTACCTGTAGTTATTTATTTAATAGAAAAACCATTGCACTATTGACGGCAGTGTTAATTAATGTACATTAGTAATATTTAGTGGTAATTCTTGATATAATTTCTGATTTAAATGGCAATTTAGCGTATGTAGATCAACACTGATATCCCCCTCGGTTTCTTTGGACTTTTTAAAATTACTGCATATAATGTGTGACCAAATTAAGTGAATGATTATTTTCTGATTAAAATAATGTTGTATTAGAGTATTAGAGGCAGACGACCATTTTCTTTCGTTTTTCTGTTCTAATTTTAGCGGGTCCAAAGGTGGGCTATTAAAAAAATTGAGGCTTTATTCCAGTTGAAAAAAATGGTTTGATACAAGAACCAATAGAAATACTTCCTCAAATTTTAAACCTTCCATTTTTTTTTCATTTTATTCTTGTATAATAATAATTATAAAACTAACAAATTTATAATATTATGGACAAAAAAGGAATGCAGTGAAATTATTTGCAGTTATTAGATCTACCTTAAGATAATGTGTTTATTTATTATTGATTGTACTTGTCTCTTTGTCAAGTTTTGGCTCCATAAATTAAATGCCTTTAACAATGGGTTTTGTAAACTAGAACATATTTATTATTGCATTAGGCTAGTGTTTAGAATTTGCAATCAATATCAATAATCCTTATAATAATTTGATAAAAGTAAATAAAGAATTATATATTCGCGGTTTCAACTATAGAAATTCATGTTTCCGTTGAACGTAAAGCTTGTAAAAGTTTAATTACGAAAAATTGAAGTTTGGTTGATTTAAGTATGAATATTAAGGGTATATTAAATTTGTTCTATTGGGTTATGGATATTTGGGTAGGTGGTTAGTTGAAAGTTTCCACCCCACCGTTTTGTGATTAAATCATCCAGAAACTTGCCGAACTTATTCTGTCGTATCACAGTAAACGCACGTTGTGAACCGGCGAAACCCTGAGATCCAAGTTTCTTTGATAAGAAGTGACTGAAAATCCAGTTTCTGATACGAAATTATAGATAACGAATAAAAAAAACCAAAAAGTAACAATACATGGAAAATTCGCCCCTTTGGCGCAAAAAGCAAAGGGAGAGCTTTGTGCAAAACTTCGGGTTAAGCTTTTCCTACCCCCCTCCCCGTCCTTACACGTATAATAAAAAAAATGGCTTTATGGGTTCCTTTTCTTTATTTCTTTGCTTCGCATTTCAGATCCTAAGGGAGTGGACCCTGTCGAATTTTTATTAATTCTTTGACTTTTGCCTTCGCGAAGAGAACAAAAAGGCAAAGACCTTTAAAAGTTAACATTAAATATTACAAAATTTTGCCAATTGTAAATTGCGTCATACTCGGAGACCAGTAAATAACTGTGGATTTTTGGGAAATAATCGGAAACTGGGCATACGATGTTTTTAAAAATTAGTAAAAAATTAATCGGTGATCAGGGCAAAACGAACTCTCTTGAGGTTTAAAAATCAAGGACGGAGTAAATAAAAGCAACTTAAAAATTGTTTTTTTAGTCATAAAATCAGAATATTTTATATATTTTATATATTTATTTCTTTATAAAGTTCAGTGGATAGTTACAAATTTTAAAACTGAAGTTTTAGCATTAATAATTTTTTGAAATCGTTTGTTCTAATCAAACCCCTAAGTGTTATGTTAAACAGAAATAAGCAGTGTCATATTAATATTAATATACACGGTTCTCTAAACTAGATGGCCTATTAGAAATATGTATATGGAGAATGGATAAAGATAAGCCTTCAAAAATTGGATTGCGGAAGACTGTTATCTCTATTTTCAAAATACAGTGAAAACTTCCTATAGCGAAACTCTTTCTGTATTACGAACAAAATTTGTTGTACTATTAGGTCTCCATACAAAGCTATGTATTAATCCACTTTGTATAACGAATTTCTCACTCTCTATACGAAAAAAAAGGGCACAAAGGTAACAAAGTAAGGAATGTAATTAATAGAGTCTCTTACCTTCTTAGAATTCCTTACCCTAATAATGTAAGTACCGAGAACCTGGTCGTCCCAAGTGTTTTTCTCGCAATAAGCGATTATGTTAATGCCTTTATCGGTATGTATAAAAGCACACCACTGTTTCAATCAGTTCTATTTTGACTTAGTGAATTTCGGCGAGCATAGCGAGTAAGCGAGAAATTTTATCTCTAGACGAAAAGAAAAGTAGTATCGGACGTCGATACGGACTTACACCGTCGACTGTATCCACGATTTGGAAGTGCAAAGAAAAAATCATTCAGGCTGAAGCGGCAGGCAGTTCTAGTAAAAAACTAAGAAAGCCAAAATTTGAAGATTTGGATCGGGCAATCTTGCAGTGGTTCCAACAGCAACCTCTTAAAATTATACCACTCTCTGGACCTATCGTAAAACTAAAAGCAGAAAAGTTTGCTGAACAACTTGGCATTATTGATTTCAAGGCTTCGAGGATGGTTGGGAAAGTTCAAACAGATTATGGACAGATAAGTGGCGAAGGCTGTGATGTCGATAGAAACGTCACTAACGATTGGCTGGAGAAGATGTGGCCAAAACTAGCAGAAAAGTATCCTGCTGACGGCATTTTTAATGCTGACGAAAATGGTATTTTTTACAAAATGACGCCAGATAAAACTCTTAAATTTCGAAGCGAAAAGTGTGTGAGCGGAAAACTTTCTAAAGAACGTTTACCAGAGAGAAAAAAGAAAGCTAGTCAAGATTGGAAAATCAACTAACTCACGATGTTTTAAGAATAGGATTACTTACACTTACAAGGCAAACAAGTCTGCATGGATGACATCGAAAATTTTTGAAGAGGAGATACGGAAATGGGGAGGAAAATATTACTTCTGTTAGATGACTGCGCTGCACATCCCCATATTCCAAATCTACGGAATATTGAATTGGCATTTCTTCCAGCCAAAAAAAGTGTATTACAGCCGATGGACCAGAGCGTAATAAAAAGTCTTAAGAGTCGATACAGGAAAAACATTTTAATGGAAATGATCGAGTCCGAAGACAAATTTTCCATTAATATGTTAGATGCAGTGAAGTTTATTAGTTAAGCTTGGAAAGAGGTGACAGCAGAAACAATTTAACACTCCTATCGTCATGTAGGACTTATTACCGAGAATGCTTGGAAGGACTTGGAAGATGATCAGCCACTAAGCAAGTGGATACAGCAGTTTCAAACAACAATTACGTTTACAAGTGAGGAGTTGCAGGATATTTTATGGTGATAGATCAGGATTTGCCTACAACAGCAGACTTGACAGAGGAAGCCAAATGACAACAAGCAAGAAAGGGTGAGGAAGAGCAACAAGAGGAAGAAGAAGATGAAGAAGTTAACCTGGAACCACCACCAACCATTCAACAAGCCCTATATTCAGTTAAGCTGCAAGAGAAATTTTGAAGAAATGGTGAAAATACAAGCCAAAATACGGCATACTAAAAAAATTCGAAAAGAAAAAGACCGATTATTTGAAATATTAAATGTAGTTCTCAAATATTTATATAAAATGTTCCTAAGAAGATATTAAAATATGTATAGAAAATAATTAAATATTATAGAACACATATAACTCTTTATAAGGAAAAATTCCCTCATCTACTGGAAGTATACGCCAACTTAATTTTTCAAAAAGGATTGTTTTTAGATTCTATGAAACATTCTATAACTTGAGCTATTTTGGAGATAAAAAATATTTTTTAGAAAATTTTGTGAAGAATCTATCATAAAAATGATTATCAATCTTTCAACCGTTTTAGATAAAAATTTGAAGTTTTGTTTATGAGATGAAATTTAAGCTATCACATACAGGGTGTTACGAAATTATTCACATTCCACAAAATATATAAATGAAAATTAAACGTGAAATTTAAATGGAACCATCTGTACTTTATTACGCGTAATAAAAAAACGAATAATTTTTAATATAAAATTATTATTACGTGCCAAAAATACTTCAAAATTTTACTCTTACTCCTTTTTTGGTTTTCTAATTATTAACATCGTATAGAAAAAAGTTAAACTTTTAGCAGAAAGTTAGCATTTAGCCAAAATTACAGCAATTATATTTTGATTTTAAGAAAGATAAATATTGAAATTATAAACACGATTCTATCCTCTACGTCCCTGATTTTATACCGAGCCGTTCCACTGTGTTGTGCGTACATCCTACCGTTTCCTATCGTGCGTGGGGTTCGAATTTTAATTACCCCGTGCAGAACAAACACAATTCTCCGTTTTCCTTTCCCGAAATCTCCATACGATTAGCGATCCGTTCACAGTTTACGAACTAAATATTTCCAGATTAGTGTCCCTCACGGTCGCCAGAGCGGGGTTCTTGTATGGTCAGCCGTGCAGCGAGAGAAACACCGCCTACTTGTATTCCACGACGTGGACGATCCCGGAAAATCGGGAGATAAATTGCGTGGACGTAACCGGATTCCGGAACCCGAACTTGATGAACTATCTCGAGTTTTTCCGACTTGCCTCTGCCGCGCACACTTTGTACGCCGACCACATGAACTTGACTAGTTTTCCGGTATCGATGGTCTTCTCGCTTCCCGGTTTGGAAACCCTGGATCTGTCCGGAAACCACATCAGACGACTGCCGTACCGGATGTACAAGATCGCGCCCAGCGTGTCGAAATTGATGGTGGCGGAAAATCGGTTGTTTGTGCCAAAAAAGCGGCCACTGTTTGTCTCCAACACCGTCAAAATGCTGATGCTCAGCAAAAATAAAATAGGTCACGTTTATCCCGTGACGTTTAAGCGAATGCCGAACCTGGAGGTGTTGTATCTGGACTCGAACGCCATCAAGTGCATTTCGGCGGATATCTTTAAACCTTTGGCGGGGTTAAAGTATTTGCATTTGGGCTTGAATCAGATACAAGATTTCCCGGCGCAGAGCTTGATGCCCCCGCAGCTCAGGCATTACATCACCAAGGACCAGCGCAGAATCAAGGTGGAGCCTTTTTGCGAAGCCTAGTTAAACGCTAGTTTTTCGTCCCCCAATGAGTTGCTTCCTGTACGCCGTAAACTTTTCGCCTGAAGAAGTGGCCCTTTAGCTTCACGTTTATAATCGTAAAATTAATGGAATTTTGAAAGCGGGTTGTAATTTAACAAATAAACAAAGGTTAATTCTGTAACAGTGATTATTAATCACTAGCACACCCAAAATTAAAATCAGCAAAGGTTTCGAAGAAAAAATTTCAGGCAATCGGGTAATTTTTCTCAAAAATAATAGATCTAACCGCACCATCTCGAATATGATCGATAAAACGGAAGATAAAGTTTTACCTCTCAATGTTTTGACGACTTTTATACCGTTCCGCCTTGTTCATAATTACATATTATATATTATAAAAGTATTTATTGTATTTTTCATAATAAATAGCTGAAAATGTGTGTGTGTGTCTTTATATAACTGCAGGAAAATCAAACTTAAGTTTCTGAGTTGCACCTTAAAATGCCGCGATCAAAGTAATAAATGCAATAAATTGTTTTTTTTTCTCGAAACCCAATCAAGATGTAAAAAAATTCATGAGACAAAAAAGTAGCATTTTTAGTTGCTTAAATTTATAAAAAAAATATTTTTTTAAAAAAATTAGTAGTGCGCCCTATTCGTGGACACCACTGCACTTCGTAATTTTAATTTATTCAAAAAAGGCTACCATATTTCAACAAAATCGGTCACGCGATGTGTAATATATATACGTACAAATAAAAATATAAATTATATATATATATATATATATATATATATATATATATATATATATATAAATTCAAAGGATATCGGGTAGTGGTCCGTGGTTAAAAAAAAAAAAAACAAAGAAAATAGAAAGCACCTTTTTCTTTAACACTCAATATTTTGTCAATTTATCTGTTGACATATATCACATAGTTCCTCAAAACAATACTCTACAGTTAAGGTGAATGAACGAAGCGACATAATGAAACAACCGGGCTTTATAATTGTTGACACATTGCAATATGTTGGGATTGCTGTAGTGAAATTCATGTCCTGTTTTTATGTAATATTCAACCACTGCACAAGTATTCTTATGAATACGGCAATCACTTTTGTGTTGTGTTAAACGTTGTTTCAACCACTGTGAGGTCTGTCCAATATAACAGCCTTGACAATCCAAACACGACAATCGATATATGACATTAGTATATAGTATAGTAGAGGAGTTGGTTCTTTGACCCTACCAAAAAGTTTTGATTAGTTTAGTTAGTTCAGTATTTTATTTGGTAATTTTTATTTATTATTGACAAAAATGTTGAAAAATTTTTTCAGGTTATTTTGAACAAAACTTTCATGGCTCAAATGTGGAACTCTGTTTTTTATGCCTATAATTGTGTTATATTTTTGACTCTGCGGATGAGAAGAATAATAATTGATAAATCTACCTGAGACAGTTTCTGTATACTAAGTGTTTATCCGATTGTTTCATTATGTCGCTTCGTTCATTTACCTTAACTGTAGAGTATTGTTTTGAGGAAATATGTGGTAAACTCTAATTTTGTAAGTAATTCTCACGATTGTTTTAATTGTCTGTTATATATTTTGACCTGTTGTTTTCATTAAATTTTAGTTGACCCCTGAAGAACTCAACAAATAAATTGACGAATTATTGAGTGTTAAAGAAAAAGGAGCTTTCTATTTTCTTTGTTTTTTTTTTTAACCACGCAACGCTACCCGATATCCTTTGAATTCAAATATAATTAGAGCGTCTTGAGCAGGAAATATGCTTTCAGCGTCACCATCGTATATCCATTCCAAAGACCGGCATGATAAACATTAGCGTTGCCGCTTTTTCAAGTTAAATGTTTGGATATCAAGGTATTGGTTTTTGGTGCCTCCCAGGGTTACTTGCGGCTATGAAAATGAAAATTGGGATGTCAAAATATGTTTAAATGTTTTTGCCCACTATAATGCCATATATTACGACCTTAACTGTTGCTATACATAAAATACATAATTTCTTGTAGATATTTCATTAATAACCTATATAAGTTTGTTTATACTTGTGCATGACATAAAGGCATAAAAAAGTATTCTCCTATAGATTTATTGAAATGCCTATAAGAAAATGTTTTTTGAATGTGCCCAAATGTGTGCAAATTTCAAATAATATTACTAATTTAGGTTAACATACCTGAACTCTTTTACAGAAAGAATAATGGTGTTATCATTCATTGTTGTTATTGATTACAAAGGAAATTTGACTTACTTTTGTAGGCTGGCCGCCTGCAACAAAACAAATTAATAAGTTTTTACAGGCTGCCATTGATAACACACATGCGTGCAATCCAGCCGCCACCTTTCAAAACCTTTATTATGTGTTAATGCATATTATTTCATTCTTGAAATTAATTAACCAAATAAAGTCGCTTTTCTGAACAAATACTGTACTAAACATCCAAATATAAGACCAGATTGCAGAATTATCAGACGATTTTCCCAAGTGCAGAGTAAAAAAATTATATAAATAACATTTGCCCTAGAGCACTGCAGATGTATAAAAAAAATAAATAAATATTTTATCAATCATGCAGTTAAATGGGAGACTTTTATGGTAGACAAGCTTTAGTAAAAAGTGCCTAAATGTTTTTGGTATTCTCCAGTTCTCCAGTTAAAAAGTACCTCGACATTACACTGTAGAACAGAGTTTTCCAAGTCGGTACAATATTTAATTTTTTATTTTGGAAACATTTCGATTGTTTTTTGCGAATCAAGCGCGTACCCGGGATGGAGTAAAATCGACCATCAGTTTTATTACTGGTGAATATCGTGTTATTTCCTTACTATACATATGTTCTCGGAACTTCTGGTATTGAAAAGGAGGAACATTGTATCGGATTCCCAAATTGATGACACGTAAAGACTTGAGTCGCGGTTAAGTTCATGTTTTTTGAGCCTAGTTCATATTTTTCCTCCAGTCTCTTCAATGTATTCTTTGCGGCACATGCATAGAATGCTAGTGGTATCTTTAACGGAATTTTGCCTTTGACCGATCGAAGATATTGAGATATTTTCGGAAAACTTATATTTCTTAAAAACTTTTGAGGTGGTCAGTGAGGTTTTGAATGTAAGAGTCCGAAAGCAACTTACCACTGTTGTCCTCCCTTTCATCGAAAACATCACTGACTACATATCAAAAGTTCTTAAAATATAATGTCATTTATATTTTTGAATTTATATATATATATATATATATATATATATATATATATATATATATAAGAAGAAGAAGAAAATAAACATTTTCGAAAGCTTGGTGTAGCACAAAAGCCTTTTATTTGAGCCCTCATCAGGACCGATACCCCAATTAACTAAAATTTGTTATATATATATATATATATATATATATATATATATATATATATATATATATATATATATATATATATATATATATATATATATATATATATATATATAAATTCAAAGGATATCGGGTAGTGGTCCGTGGTTAAAAAAAAAAAAAACAAAGAAAATAGAAAGCACCTTTTTCTTTAACACTCAATATTTTGTCAATTTATCTGTTGACATATATCACATAGTTCCTCAAAACAATACTCTACAGTTAAGGTGAATGAACGAAGCGACATAATGAAACAACCGGGCTTTATAATTGTTGACACATTGCAATATGTTGGGATTGCTGTAGTGAAATTCATGTCCTGTTTTTATGTAATATTCAACCACTGCACAAGTATTCTTATGAATACGGCAATCACTTTTGTGTTGTGTTAAACGTTGTTTCAACCACTGTGAGGTCTGTCCAATATAACAGCCTTGACAATCCAAACACGACAATCGATATATGACATTAGTATATAGTATAGTAGAGGAGTTGGTTCTTTGACCCTACCAAAAAGTTTTGATTAGTTTAGTTAGTTCAGTATTTTATTTGGTAATTTTTATTTATTATTGACAAAAATGTTGAAAAATTTTTTCAGGTTATTTTGAACAAAACTTTCATGGCTCAAATGTGGAACTCTGTTTTTTATGCCTATAATTGTGTTATATTTTTGACTCTGCGGATGAGAAGAATAATAATTGATAAATCTACCTGAGACAGTTTCTGTATACTAAGTGTTTATCCGATTGTTTCATTATGTCGCTTCGTTCATTTACCTTAACTGTAGAGTATTGTTTTGAGGAACTATGTGGTAAACTCTAATTTTGTAAGTAATTCTCACGATTGTTTTAATTGTCTGTTATATATTTTGACCTGTTGTTTTCATTAAATTTTAGTTGACCCCTGAAGAACTCAACAAATAAATTGACGAATTATTGAGTGTTAAAGAAAAAGGAGCTTTCTATTTTCTTTGTTTTTTTTTAACCACGCAACGCTACCCGATATCCTTTGAATTCAAATATAATTAGAGCGTCTTGAGCAGGAAATATGCTTTCAGCGTCACCATCGTATATCCATTCCAAAGACCGGCATGATAAACATTAGCGTTGCCGCTTTTTCAAGTTAAATGTTTGGATATCAAGGTATTGGTTTTTGGTGCCTCCCAGGGTTACTTGCGGCTATGAAAATGAAAATTGGGATGTCAAAATATGTTTAAATGTTTTTGCCCACTATAATGCCATATATTACGACCTTAACTGTTGCTATACATAAAATACATAATTTCTTGTAGATATTTCATTAATAACCTATATAAGTTTGTTTATACTTGTGCATGACATAAAGGCATAAAAAAGTATTCTCCTATAGATTTATTGAAATGCCTATAAGAAAATGTTTTTTGAATGTGCCCAAATGTGTGCAAATTTCAAATAATATTACTAATTTAGGTTAACATACCTGAACTCTTTTACAGAAAGAATAATGGTGTTATCATTCATTGTTGTTATTGATTACAAAGGAAATTTGACTTACTTTTGTAGGCTGGCCGCCTGCAACAAAACAAATTAATAAGTTTTTACAGGCTGCCATTGATAACACACATGCGTGCAATCCAGCCGCCACCTTTCAAAACCTTTATTATGTGTTAATGCATATTATTTCATTCTTGAAATTAATTAACCAAATAAAGTCGCTTTTCTGAACAAATACTGTACTAAACATCCAAATATAAGACCAGATTGCAGAATTATCAGACGATTTTCCCAAGTGCAGAGTAAAAAAATTATATAAATAACATTTGCCCTAGAGCACTGCAGATGTATAAAAAAAATAAATAAATATTTTATCAATCATGCAGTTAAATGGGAGACTTTTATGGTAGACAAGCTTTAGTAAAAAGTGCCTAAATGTTTTTGGTATTCTCCAGTTCTCCAGTTAAAAAGTACCTCGACATTACACTGTAGAACAGAGTTTTCCAAGTCGGTACAATATTTAATCTTTTATTTTGGAAACATTTCGATTGTT